TTTTATGATAAATAAAATATGTGTAGGGTTGATTTGCAATGTTTCTTTTCGTTACTTTATTGTTGTAATAGTTTTGAATGATGCCACAAGCTCAAAAAATGTGAAAGTGTTGAATTTGACAAAAAAACATATTTTCGGTATTTTTTACAAAAAAGTTCCCAGTTTGTCGGAATGCTTAGATTTTCATAAAATCATATTTACATAGTGACATAACCACCATTATGTGAAACTTTCATCGAATTCTGCTGGCTAATTGCGAAAGGGTGGAGCCTCCTTAATGTTGGTTACGATGAAAGGTAACAAATGTTATAAGATAAAAGAAAGTGTATCAACACTTGTTTCTGTCTCCCATCCATTTATGTTCAACCATGTTTGTATTATGTATTAAGTATGTTATGTGAATAAAACAAGGTTTAAGCTAAATGTCTCCTTAATCCAAACGGTTTGATTTTGATGTTGAGAAATGCCTCGCGTGTCCATATGATTTAATCTGGAGTACGAGAAGCTCCCTATACGGTTTGATCTAGACAGCCAGAAGTTCATCAAACATTCATACAATTTGATCCAGACATTGAAAGGTACGTCCTGTATCCAACCGATTTATCAGGTCGACACTCGTACGGTTCAATATCGACAGAAGTGCCTTCAATATCGATACGATTTGATCAGTGCCTCTGGTATCATTATGAAAATATAGACCCAAACGACACGTCCTTAAATGACCTTAGCTGTAGGATGTTAAACCCTGTACAACCAACCAACCAAAGAATTTAATATCTAGAATGCGAAACGTACCAACTACAACCAAACGGTCCGATGTAGAAATTGAGGAATGCCTCCTGTATCCATACAGTTTGATCTAAACAGTAACAAATGATTCATACATCTACAGTTTAGTCTAGTCAGACAACCGGGTGCATCTCAAAGCAGTTTGATCCAGACATTAAGACAATATTTAAAACGGATGGTTAGATCTAGAGAGTCAGATGGATATTTTCAAAGTCTGAACTAGTAAGATGGATATTTTCGAAGTTAGATCTAGGCAGTTAGATGGACATTTTCAAAATTAGATCTAGGCAGTTAGATGGATATTTTCAAAGTTTGATCTAGGCAGTTAGATATATATATATTCAAAGTTTGAACTAGTCAGGTGGATATTTAGGAAGTTAGATCTAGGCATACAGGTGGATATTTACGAAGATAGATCTAGTCACTCAGATGGGTTTTTTCAAAATTAGATTTTGGCACTCAAATGGATATTTTCAAAATTTGATCTGGTAAGATGGATATTTTCATAGTTAGATCTCGGCAGTCAGATGGATATTTTCAAAATTTGAGCTGGTAAGATGGATATTTTCAAAATTAGATCTTGGCACTCAAATGGATATTTTCAAAATTTGATCTGGTAAGATGGATATTTTCAAAATTAGACTTCGGCAGTCAAATGGATATTTTCAAAATTTGATCTGGTAAGATGGATATTATTAAAGTTAGATCTCGGCAGTCAAATGGATATTTTCAAAATTTGATCTAGTTAGATGGGTACTTTCAAAATTAGATCTCGGCAGTCAGATGGATATTTTCAAAATTTGATCTGGTAAGATGGATATTTTCATAGTTAGATCTCGGCAGTCAGATGGATATTTTCAAAATTTGAGCTGGTAAGAGGGATATTTTCAAAATTAGATCTTGGCACTCAAATGGATATCTTCAAAATTTGATCTGGTAAGATGGATATTTTCATAGTTAGATCTCGGCAGTCAGATGGATATTTTCAAAATTTGAGCTGGTAAGAGGGATATTTTCAAAATTAGATCTTGGCACTCAAATGGATATTTTCAAAATTTGATCTAGTTAGATGGGTACTTTCAAAATTAGATCTCGGCAGTCAGATGGATATTTTCAAAATTTGAGCTGGTAAGAGGGATATTTTCAAAATTAGATCTTGGCACTCAAATGGATATTTTCAAAATTTGATCTAGTTAGATGGGTACTTTCAAAATTAGATCTCGGCAGTCAGATGGATATTTTCAAAATTTGAGCTGGTAAGATGGATATTTTCAAAATTAGATCTTGGCACTCAAATGGATATTTTCAAAATTTGATCTAGTTAGATGGGTATTTTCAAAATTAGATCGTGGCAGTCAGATGGATATTTTCAAAATTTGATCTAGTAAGATGGATATTTTCAAAGTTAGATCTCGGCTGTCAAATGGATATTTTCAAAATTTGATCTAGTAAGATGGATATTTTCAAAGTTAGATCTCGGCTGTCAAATGGATATTTTCAAAATTTGATCTAGTAAGATGGATATTTTCAAAGTTAGATCTCGGCAGTCAGATGGATATTTTCAAAATTTGATCTAGTAAGATGGATATTTTCAAAGTTTGATCTAGATAGTTGTTGTCAACCTGCACGATTCGAGATGTTTCTCCACAATTCTGTAAGATGTTTTCTACGCCTTGATTCACGATTTTATCTACTTGGGATAATGCGTCTCCAAGTTTGATATTTATATATATTCATTGTTTCCTACACACCAGTCATTATGTAGACTGGGAAATGTTCGTTCATGCAGACCAACCACTTTGTTTACTTGTTAAATGTAATATTTCGGGGGGTAAAACCTGTAGGGCCTGCAGAAGTTAATGCAGGCCTTGAAAGCAACTCCAAACCACTAGGTCGGTCGCCATGTTCTAAATGAACAAATTGGGTGGTCGGCTGGCGCAGTGGATAGCGCACCTGCATTTCACCAAGGCGGCCAGTGTTCGATTCCCCCGATAGGTAGTGAAAAGGTATGGGGTCACATGCCCGACCAGGTTGGTTTGTTCCAGGTACTCTGGTTTCCTGTCATATTAATACTACTACGCCTAATATCCAGGCCAACAAGAGTGATTAATACAAGTTGAAATAATTTGTTTCATAATTGTTGTAAAAATATATTAAGTTTATATATATGAACCGGTAATACCATTTGGAACACGATAGCTACCCTAGACATAAAGAGGTGTCTTTTCAGTTTCATCATGACGAAGAGACATACAACCTTTGGTTTGATATCTGAGACATACAACCTTTGGTTTGATATCTGAGACATACAACCTTTGGTTAGATATCTGAGACATACAACTTTTGGTTTGATATCTGAGACATACAACCTTTGGTTTGATATCTGAGACATACAACCTTTGGTTTGACATCTGAGACATACAACCTTTGGTTTGACATCTGAGACATACAACCTTTGGTTAGATATCTGAGACATACAACCTTTGGTTTGATATCTGAGACATACAACCTTTGGTTTGATATCTGAGACATACAACCTTTGGTTTGATATCTGAGACATACAACCTTTGGTTTGATATCTGAGACATACAACCTTTGGTTTGATATCTGAGACATACAACCTTTGGTTTGATATCTGAGACATACAACCTTTGGTTTGATATCTGAGACATACAACCTTTGGTTTGATATCTGAGACATACAACCTTTGGTTTGATATCTGAGACATACAACCTTTGGTTTGATATCTGAGACATACAACCTTTGGTTTGATATCTGAGACATACAACCTTTGGTTTGATATCTGAGACATACAACCTTTGGTTTGATATCTGAGACATACAACCTTTGGTTTGATATCTGAGACATACAACCTTTGGTTTGATATCTGAGACATACAACCTTTGGTTTGATATCTGAGACATACAACCTTTGGTTTGATATCTGAGACATACAACCTTTGGTTTGATATCTGAGACATACAACCTTTGGTTTGATATCTGAGACATACAACCTTTGGTTTGATATCTGAGACATACAACCTTTGGTTTGATATCTGAGACATACAACCTTTGGTTTGATATCTGAGACATACAACCTTTGGTTTGATATCTGAGACATACAACCTTTGGTTTGATATCTGAGACATACAACCTTTGGTTTGATATCTGAGACATACAACCTTTGGTTTGATATCTGAGACATACAACCTTTGGTTTGATATCTGAGACATACAACCTTTGGTTTGATATCTGAGACATACAACCTTTGGTTTGATATCTGAGACATACAACCTTTGGTTTGATATCTGAGACATACAACCTTTGGTTTGATATCTGAGACATACAACCTTTGGTTTGATATCTGAGACATACAACCTTTGGTTTGATATCTACAGTAAGATGTGTTCCAACAAACATACACAATCAACAACCAAGCCTATTTAATTTGTATTTTTTATTATTATTTCATTGTTGGTTGGAAACCATATAAAAATGTATGAGAGTAAATCTGATTTACAGTACAAAACCAGGGTTCCTATGTTGATACAACAAACTTCCTTTTCACTGCTTAGGACACCAAGGGCACAGTCACATGAACTAAACTTATATTCCATTAAAAGTAAAATTCTTTAATTCTTTACTAAACACAACTCATTTTTTAATGTTTTAACCTACACAACCCAATGTTTAATGTCGGTAAATTATTCTGTTATTGGTTGTATATCCCTTTACTTAGAGTCACAGATTGTTAATAAATATGTATTTCCTTATTGATATATTGACTACCAGAACTAATCTGTTTTATGAAAAAATTTAAATTATGAACGTGAAGAAAAAATCTCCTTTTTATTACTTGTTAACTAGTTATGTTAGTGTCTTAATACTGTATTATATTAAGGCTTGTGTGATGCTTGTGTTCCATACCTTTTACTGACACAAAAAAATGTCATATTAGGTCAGTTATGCATCTATAGCTACTGTCACAATAAATGTCCTATTAGGTCAGTTATGCATCTACTGTCACAATAAATATCATATTAGGTCAGTTATGCAACTTCTGACACAATAAATGTCCTATTAGGTCAGTTATGCATCTACTGTCACAATAAATATCATATTAGGTCAGTTATGCAACTACGGACACAATAAATGTCCTATTAGGTCAGTTATGCAACTACTGACACAGTATATGTCCTATTAGGGCAGTTATGCATCTACTGTCACAATAAATATCATATTAGGTCATATATGCAACTTCTGACACAATAAATGTCCTATTAGGCCAGTTATACTTCTACTGACACAATAAATGTCCTATTAGGTCAATTATGCAACTACTGTCACAATAAATGTCCTATTAGGTCAATTATGCAACTACTGTCACAATAAATGTCCTATTAGGTCAGTTATGCAACTACTGACACAGTATATGTCCTATTAGGTCAGTTATGCATCTACTGTCACAATAAATATCCTATTAGGTCAGTTATGCAACTTCTGACACAATAAATGTCCTATTAGGTCAGTTATACTTCTACTGTCACAATAAATGTCATATTAGGTCTGTTATACAACTACTGTCACAATAAATGTCCTATTAGGTCAGTTATGCATCTTCTGTCACAATAAATGTCATATTAGGTCAGTTTTGCATCTACTGATACTGTCACAATAAATGTCATATTAGGTCTGTTATACTGTCACAATAAATGTCCTATTAGGTCAGTTATGCATCTTCTGTCACAATAAATGTCATATTAGGTCAGTTATGCATCTACTGTCACAATAAATGTCCTATTAGGTCAGTTATGTAACTACTGTCACAATAAATGTCCTATTAGGTCAGTTATACTTCTACTGTCACAATAAATGTCATATTAGGTCTGTTATACAACTACTGTCACAATAAATGTCCTATTAGGTCAGTTATGCAACTACTGACACAGTATATCCCATTTTAAGGTCATTAATGCATTTAATGAAGCAATATAATTACCATATTGGTTCAGTAATTCCCCATGTTACAAATTTAGCTTGAAAACTCCAATTCAATATGGTACTAAATTTCGAAAGTCTAAATGGGATTATTTGTACTAGCCCACTTAATAGAACACTTGTTGTTCTAATTTATTAATTTTTAGTTTTGACGCCCACAATAACTTCACTATTTCAGTTGTCTGCTAATACTTGTGGCCTGTTTTAACAACTAAGCTCTGATTAAATGACCTTAATACTATTCCAAATTTGTGGAGTCATCACAATTCAGACCAATCAAATCACAGAATTTTTCAGTTAGAAAGATCATTTTAGTTTTTTTATTCCCACAACTTTTGAATTCTTTTTTATCAGCTCAATGTCATAATTTCAGAGACAGGTGCCCTCAGCTTCGCTGAACTCTAAACAAACCCTAAAGTTGAATTGCTCAAACTTTTATCAAATAGTTAAATTTTGATGAATGTACACAAAAACGGAATGCTGCCTGGAGACTCACTTCTATTAGCCACACCGCCCTGAGAGGCTGGTGAGGCTGTAAAGGTGTTCACTGGTCTCGGAGTTATAGAGACTGGCCACATGGCAAAAAGGGATAATACCCGTGGCCACTCGAGCCGTATGCCAAGGAAGTCAAATAAGGTTTAAAGAGTTTACAGACATATATAAAATATCAACAAATATATACACACTTATAAAACTGTATCTGGTACACATCCATACACATTCTCTCGTCTCACTCTTCTGGATTATCTCCCCTGGTAAGACACTTGCGATAACATGAACTATTTACAATGAAACACACTGAAATATCAACAAATGGTCACTTAAATTAAATATCTATTTGCATCATGATCAAACGTTTTCAAAGTCACATGGTCCATTTGCTTGATGTCCAGAGGTCATATCCTTTACTTACTCAACTATTCCAACCGAGTTCAAATGTGTCATTAGGGGGGAATGAGTTAAATGCCTACCAAGGGTAACATAACAATATTTAAATTAAGACTTATTTCATTATTACTTTAAACTGGATGAATAAAAAAACAAATAACAAGAGACAAGGGATAAAATATCATCCATAAAATAGTTTACAGTGAATGGCCTCTATATCAAATAATCTTCAGACAAAACAAATGGACAAATGTGCAAGAAAACTGTTTCTCAACATGCAAGAAAAATATCCTTATTTTATCTAGGTAGTTACACTTGATCCCATAAGAACGATCCATTTAAACACACAAATCTATATATATTGACTATTTTGTGCGAATTTGATTTCCAGTATTTCCTGAAATTGTGAGTTAAATATGATGGTTAAAATATCTTCGTTGATTTCATAAATAAAATTCCTGAATTACATTTCAGATGAGCAGGAAAAGCTTATTAATTACTGGCCTTGTCAAAGGATTACTGAGATTGTCAATTTGACCATGAACACCAATTTACCCAGTAGATATAGCTACCTGACCGTTCTTACAATACAAAACCATGATCCACATATCAATACCATTTCATGGAGTCAGTTCTGGATTTTATTTGTAGTTAGATCTCATTTTCCTTTCCACAGAACAAAATGCTGCTCCATACCTTTGAATGGTCTGTATGTGAGGATACAGCAACGGTTCCTGATTTAACCAGTCTTTTAACGACCCGGAGTGCAAGCCATGGTTTCTGCACCGATTCACTAGCCGTGCCAAACCAGTACATGGTATATAGACTTTGAAATCTAAATCTAACCCAGATCCCTCATCTAGAAGAGCACTTTTTGTTTCCTGTTGTTTATTGTTGGGGAGGAAGATCCTCATCACCTGCCTCCCAACTAAAACCATATTGTCCTGATTCCATCGTTGAGGTAGACTGTCTTCAGCCTCAATAGTCAGGAGAGACCCTCTTTTATGTTGTGACACCAAATCCTTACATAATTACCAGGACTGTGTCCTAACAAGGTACCTAACTTGCCCTGTAATCCCTATTTAATCGTCGGGAGACCCAGTCTTGCGGTACATGGAACCAAACTTGCCCATGTATTTCTTGACATAGTCTTTGGCCTTGGCCTTAACATTCTCGTTCACCTCGAGGTCCTCCACGTGGTGGCAGTGCTTCAACTCCTTGGCCATCACATGGTGGGTCAACTGTACAAACAACAACATGTGTTATACATACATGGTGGGTCAACTGTAGAAACAACAACATGTGGTATACATACATGGTGGGTCAACTGTACAAACAACAACATGTGTTATACATACATACGTGAATTACAAGTTTCTCTATCTTGGAATTAATCTAAGCTCTACAGCCTAATTTTGTTTTTCACCCTAATTCTGAATTAAAAAATTGATCTTAACGTTTGGTTTTATTTTTGAAATTAAGTTAGTCCATCTTTTAGAATTCACTAGTATGAAAGTTTTTTCTTCAAAATATAACAATGATGATATATTAAATCAATACAAACTGGTATCATTCTTTATTCCAGGACCTTCATCATCAACTTTTATTTAATTTAACAAAAAAATGGGACAATCCACGGGTGCAGAGAGCGAAAGTGAGCGTAACCCCTGGATATCGAGGATGAAAGGAAAGGGACATAAGGGCATTGGCATTAGGCCTAGACATTCATGATTAGAAGCAGTCGGAAAGGAGGTTAACCACTACTGATTGAGGTTTTTTAAATTCTTACCTTCCTGGCGAGGTGTTTGAAGTCGTCCGTGGAAGATATGTGGCCCATCTTACAGTCTGGCTTCCTGAAGGGGTTCAGGCACACCACAACGTACGAGGACATCTACAATACAGGGAAGTCATTATCAGCCAGCTACTTAACTCAATTCACCCCTGAAGACATATATTTTAACTCCTCCTATTCAAAGGTTGGAATAGTTCATTATGAAATTTCAGGGGTAAATGAGTGAACGATCCCTGATTTTGAGATCAATTTTCTGCCAGATTATACATGATATGTGAAGAAAATTTGGGAAAAATATCTGGAGTCAGAATTGGACAACAAATTGGCTCTTCATTGTGAATAAAGGAATGATGTACAACACACATTATAATGATACTAAAGATATATTAACTAGACAAACACTCTGGTTTCAAAAGTTTGACACTTTTATGGGTGCACAAAACAAGACACAGTGTGCAAGAGACCATACTGAAGCCACAATCCCGAACTATTTTATGTAGGATTATAATCACAACATACTCAAGCGTCACCAATTAAGTGTTTTTTTAAGTTTATTTGGCCGACTAGTTTCGCCTCTAATGGTGAGGCTTCATCAGGTCCAGGCGAAGCGTCCAACTGGTTACCACACAAACCTACAACTCATTTCCTTGGCTCCATCACCTTTAAATTAATCTCTAACTATGTAACTTTCTTGTCTACTCTGAGTGAAGTGGTACGAAGCCTTTAATTATTAGATAAAATCACAAAATAATTTATTTTATTTTTTTAAATACTGGGGTCAAAACTATTAAAAAACTATATTTGCCACTTGAAAAAATTTGAATGCTTACCGTAAAAACCCATGTAATTTGCGCACTTTTTTTCCAGAAATTTAATACCCAAAGTGGGGGGTGCGTCAAATAAACAGGTATAGAAAATTTCAAGGTTTTTTTTAGGAAAAGATCGACGATTCCGAGAGATCGCCATCTCGGATTATGTCCCTTGGTACACGGAACTCTAAGACAAATGACGATCAACAAATTTATTTATGTCAAACATTAATAAAAGATACATAATGTGTTGTTATGTGAGTTTATGTGAAAAGTATTAATAAATAGGTAACCGTTAACAAAAAAAGTTTAGGCAAATTCCTATGCCAGAGAATCGCCAATCAACTTACGACATTACGTTTCGACATCTCGGTGCGTTTCCCCATACTATTACGAAAATGTAGTTGTTCAATTTAAGCTCAGTTCCATGTAAGTTCTGTAAGTTTTTTTCAAATCGCCTATGCGTCTGCGTATAGCATGTTTTTTTTCCGGCTCACTTTCATGTTGATCTCGCGTCTAACATTACGTAAACACGTGATTGATAATAACCTCGTGAATTATTTCAATATTTATTAAATGAAGCATCGTAAAAATAGTCTGCGTTAACTATTTTTTTCCTTGGAGTAGATTTGAAGAGGATGTATTGATTGTCCACGCTTCTAGTATAAACATATTTTTTATAATCCCTTATCAGTCAAATCAGTCTGTAGTTATGACAATGCAGTAGGGCTTCGTAATTCACGCCACGTGTTGGCGAGTGAAAAAAACAACAACACGGTCCGTCGATCGCGACTGCAAATCATTTCAATTAGTAGAGCTATTGTTAACGGGTAATCACAGAGATAGTGTTAGCTCATTACTGCATTGTAATTTGTAAAAAAATATCGCCAAACCACGGACTTAGATAATCTAATTCCGTGGCCAAACTGAACTGTGACATGACCTGGTTTGAAGTGACGTAACCCAAGCTGCCATGATGAGCCCTTCTCACTGATCGTAATTATGATCAATAAAAGGTATCTTATTATGTCTTTCACCAGGAGATATTCACCAGCGGTTACTACATCAAATTACTTATTAATTGATATGTTTTTGTAAGCAAGTAAATGTTTTATGTAAAATATTGCTAAAATGAATTGATGTATGCCGATATGCGCACACGTGTGTGTCATGTGTGATCAGATAATTCAAAGAAAACAGGCAACAAAATACACATTTTACGTAGTTTCTTCTTGGTTTTAAATATCATTTTACATCAATGAAAAAACAATCATAGAAATATATTTTAAAAAAATAATTCAGAGATCGATTTTCGGAGCATGAACATCGTTTTTTTCCCCCCAGATTTTTTGGGTGCGCAAAATATTCGAGTAGAAGCTTTTTTCCCGATTTTTAGCCTCAAAAAGTACCTGCGCAAATTACACAGGTGCGCAAATTACATGGGGTTTTACGGTAATCATAAATACACTTGCAGAATTTGTTTTCGAATATAAAATGAATGAACACAAACATATGACAGTAAGACCAGGAAAACAGTTGCAATGTAAGACAAATAATCAATGAGGGACAGAGGACAGACAATAAGGACACCCTTCAGTTTCAGACAATATCTTGGGGAATATCAATATTGTATTTTTTAATACAATCTACTTTCAAACACTTGCAAGTGAGAGACATTGTAACAAGCATAGTCTTACAATTAACATACATTTTGTAGATATGTGTTAATTTGAGCCCCGATATAAGACAATATAACAGGAAGGTTTTTTGCTGCTAGTCTGGGTGAACGAACCTTGTTCCTGAACTGATCCTTGATTTTCTTGGCTAGCTCACTGGATGTGTCTGCTGCAGCAGTCGTCGTCTGCTTCGAACTCTTCTTAACAGGCTGTAAATATAACACATACACATCATCAATCAATGTATAGACACAGAGAGTCTCCAACAAGCACTCACACCTTGAACTTTTTCAAACTTTACACAGCAGTGAGGCCAATCATAATACTTTATCAATAAATTAACTTTTTTCATGGTTTTCTAGGTATAACAATTTCAAGAAAGTGTAAACTCAACAGCAATCATATTATTCAAACTAATATTGACATCCATTTTGTACTTGATCATAGCATACTATCAAGGACTGACCTTGACCTTAGTAATTAGTTACAACTGACCTTGACCTCCTCCATGGGTGGGGTACACATGTCCATGCTGTCGTCCTGTGTACAGTCCCAGGTTGGTGTGTCCCACTGGGTTTGTCTACAAATACAGAACACAGGTAACATTTATGACACACACTTTAGAATCTAATACTTAATATCATAGAAGGCAAAGTACAAATTTGCCAGACAATAAAAAGTAAGCTTTGTTTCAGTCAGTGTAATACAATTTAAAATTGTATAACAAACACTTCTTATGAATCAAAATTTTGAAACGTTCAATCTTATTTAAGTACAGGAATATGTACTACGAATCACAAAACAAAAATCGAATCAGATTTTATGAATATTAGACATTACAACTGGTTGTACCACCAGCAAATACTTTGAAGCTCTAAACAATCTACCACAAATGATAAAACTCTTTTCAGGTACATTACCATAGTGACTGCACTTGCTTGTATTAAGTGACCAAACATATAAATCTGAAAGAGGTACTTGACTTTTACTGTGTAAAGAATAGTGTAACACTGCCCATCATCGGCACGTTTTTTTGTTCTCTTTTTAATGAAATATATACATGCATGATTCAGTTATTTTGTTTCAACAAAGGAATTATTTCTGATGAGTAAGCATATGTATTACAAGAACACATGTATATATCTTACATGATGTGTCAGCAATTCCTATGAGAGTTTTGATTTAAACATATTTCATTTGTCGTTCAACAAAAAGGATTAGGCACAAGTTATCTCAACTAAGAAACGCTCTATCCATGACAGTTTTAAGTGTCCTATGTTAGAATTGTATATTAAGTCATGCCTGTATGAACTGCAAACAAGACAACACCAAAATTTTGCACAAGATCAAGTTTTTTAAAGGTCAAAGGTTACCAGAGGTTAAGGGTTACCTGGTGATAGTATGATAGTAGTATGTCTTTCCATCAGAGTCCTTAGCACTTTTCCAGTTAGGAGGTAGTTTTGTTTGTTTTGTTTTGGGGGGTGATGGAGGGGGTGGAACATCCTCCTCCTCGGCAAGGGCTACCCCCTGGGAAAGGGCTGCCAGCTGGCTCTGAATTTGAAGCTGTTGTTGAAGCTGCTGGATCTGCAAAAAGATTTTGGATTGGTAATGTGATTTGTAACTGATGTCAAAATCAATAATTTGCCAAGATAAAAAAATCCTTTGAATGAGTATATGAAGAGGAAATTTCAGTATGACTAAAATAAGACGTTCTGTAGTCAATGCCAATTGCAATTAATTATGTAAAGCTGTTTTCAAGTTCACGTTACAAAAGGCCTGAATAAAATATTTTTGTTTGTCTTTACCTTCCCACCTACCTACAAAATTACCCAACCTAACCAATTCTAACCCTGATATTTTATTGGCATTCTCTCATGGTTATTTATAATGTTTCTTCTGTAAATGAAAAAGCACCATGATTGTAAAACTGTAAGTTCTGTTTGAATTTAAGTAGTTACAATAAACAATATTATTGAATTTCATCTTATAATATTGACTAAAGACTATTATTGATGGGATATAATACAGCAACCTTTGTTATTCACAGCATAAACAGGAAGTGTTTGATACAGATGTCAGTAGGCGGCATGCAAACAGATTCAACTCTATATCAGTCTATCTAGCTACAGTACACTGTGTACGTCAAACATCTAAAACAAGGTTAACCATATGTATATCTGTCACGTGTCATCATATAGCACAAGTATTTTACATATGAGATAATATCTAACTTCTGGTCAAACCCACTATCTCATTCCCCATACAATAAGTTTCTAGTAATGCGCTCCATAATCCAAACCCAACCTTCTTTACTTTGGCAAGTGAAATTATAGAACAGTGACCTCCCCAGAAATATTTCAGCACTTAGCAAACAGCTATGAGTCCTGGGTTGCATCTTTCCGTCACATACATATAAAACATCAACAATTCATTTAATGTGTTCATCAGCATTATGATGACTTAGGATATCAACTGTTTATTTATAGACCCCTCAGTTCTACATTCATAGATGAAAGGAAGCAAACATGTTTAAAATAGTATATAAATGAGCGGTGGGCATAGGTCAAAAAGCGGTGCCCAGCATCTTGGACCTGGACAATACCCAGTAGAAGCTGTTCCTTACTGTGTTGTTAAACAGGTGGAGCGATTACCATGAAGGATTCTAATCTTGTAAGGGTCGCAGATATTAAAACTGAATTACATGATAAACTTGTAAGCATTGAGGTAGTACCGACACATTCATAACATTACAAGGTTTAAGATATGAAGGTAAATGTGCATATCTCATACAAATGCAAAAGCAGTATGATGAAACGATATGCAAACAAGGCAAGTTATCAAACAAATTCAACAGATAAATAATGACACAAAATTTGATACAATAAAAAACATTGAAAAAATATTGAAAAATGATTAAAACTGCCAAAAAATAAACAGAAAAAATGTATTCATCTACAAATTAACTAGAAGATGGTGGATGAAGGTGCAGGATAAAATAAAGCACACATAATACAAATGCTACTTAGGGAAATAAACATGATCTTACGGTTGAACTTGGATCAGCCATCTTCGAAAAATAAAACAAACAAATTTACTTTATATGCTATATGAATCATATGAATGTGAAAGAAGATCTATGCAACAACCAACAGTGATATATTTCTGTGAAAATCTGTTCCTCCTTTTTTCTTAAATCAAAAAACACCTTTTTTAACAGAAGGCAGGAAGAAATGTATGGGTGTTCCTGCTTAATATACTCAAAAGTTAAAATGGTTTCCCTGAATGAGTATAACCTATATATGGTCAGTGTTACCTACCTGCTGCATAAATGCCATACTCTGAGGATCGGCGGACATTTGGGCCTGCTGGTCCAGTGGTAGACCCCCCTGCTGCTGCTGTTGCTGCTGGTATGCCAAAGCTTGCGCCCCCGTTGCCAACGCCTGGGCTTGGGTCATGCCCTGGCTCTGTTGCTGGGCAACCAACTCTGCCTGGCTCTGGAACTGTCCCTAGAGAGCAGAGTTTTGTTATTAGAAGAAAATCGCACAAAATTCAAGCTTAAATTGTAGGTCACAGTAAAGACAAGTTGTCTTCTTAAAACCACGAGGAGTTCAAACTTAAAACCTACAAATAGCTCTGGCATCTAGTCACGTGATCAACTTTGCTGAAATTATTTGATGCTGAATGATGACATCTACTTTTGTTTGAATGGGTGCTGTAAGCTGGTTTTGTCTGATGCAAACTTTAAAACAATTGATCTTGTCCTTAACTGTGCAGTCTATGAATGACGTACATGATGTAAAATGTTACAGTTTCTTTATCATCACCCCCTTCACCTGGAAGTTTAGCAAGCTGTATACTAACTATTACTGTCTGACACTTTACACACATTTTTCAGGCCAAATTCGATCACTTCTTAACACTCTTTAAGCAGATGCTTGCAATATTTGTAGGTCCAAGTAAAAGGGGTTATATTTTTCTATTTCTAGTTAAACTTTCTCAACAGATTTAGAATAACCACTATTAACTTGAACAATGTAGCCTTTCAGGAAAAGTCCATGTAACCTGGCAAAAATTGACATTATTAGCAACAGGTTAAAGTTTTTGTTTTTAACTCAACTATAAACTCTCCAAAATAGTTTGAATTTTCAAATGAGAAAAACTTCAAATACTGTCGAGCATTGATTGTAATCTGTGACAATGTCACAAATTGTTCAGTGTAAATAAACATCAGGAAATTAGAGCTAGGGACTTTGTTACAGCTGATCTTGGTAAGGCAAAATATACACAATATTAAGCACATATTTTGTGTGATTATCTTTTGTGTATGTACATAGACAGTGACTTTGGTCACTCTGCACGTCACTGTGCACTTTGACAATGACCTCTGTGCACTGCCACATTGACCTATGTGTACTGCAAACCTGTATACTCTGACCTTGACCTCTATGACCTTGACCTACCTGCTGGTACATGAGCTGCTGCTGCTGCTGCTGCTTCTGCCCATACTTTGATCTTGACCTCTATGACCTTGACCTACCTGCTGTTGCTGGTAAATGAGGTGCTGATGCTGTTGCTGCTGTGTCTGCCCCTATTCTGACTTTGACCTCTATGACCTTGACCTACCTGCTGGTCCATGAGCTGCTGCTGCTGCTGCTGCTTCTGCCCATACTTTGATCTTGACCTCTATGACCTTGACCTACCTGCTGGTCCATGAGCTGCTGCTGCTGCTGCTGCTTCTGCCCATACTTTGATCTTGCCCTCTATGACCTTGACCTACCTGCTGGTACATGAGCTGCTGCTGCTGCTGATGCTTCTGCCCATACTTTGATCTTGACCTCTATGACCTTGACATACCTGCTGTTGCTGGTAAATGAGGTGCTGATGCTGTTGCTGCTGTGTCTGCCCCTATTCTGACCTTGACCTCTATGACCTTGACCTACCTGCTGTTGCTGGTAAATGAGGTGCTGATGCTGTTGCTGCTGTGTCTGCTCCTATTCTGACCTTGACCTCTATGACCGTGACCTACCTGCTGTTGCTGGTAAATGAGCTGTTGCTGTTGTTGCTGCGTCTGTCCATCTTCCATGTAGGCCATGCCGGACTGAAGCATTGCCTGCTGGGCCTGTTGCTGGGCCTGCTGCTGTGCCTGGTGTTCTGGGTCGAGCATCTGCTGAAGGGAAGGGTCCTGAAACATGGGCTCCATGCTCCCGTCTATGGAAACTGTACAAAGGTAAATATCATCATTATGATAGTAATCATCACCAAAGGGACAAACATTTACGACAATAGCAAACATCACCAAGGGGAGAAATATTACGAAAAGGGCAAACATCACCAAGGGGGCAAATATTACGAAAAGGGCAATCATCACCAGGGGGAGAAACATTGTGACAAGGGCAAACATCACCAAGGGGAGAAATATTACGAAAAGGGCAAACATCACCAGGGGGAGAAATATTGTGACAAGGGCAAACATCACCAAGGGGAGAAATATTACGACAAGGGCAAACATCACCAAGGGGAGAAATATTACGAAAAGGGCAAACATCACCAAGGGGAGAAATATTACGAAAAGGGCAAACATCACCAAGGGGAGAAATATTACGAAAAGGGCAAACATCACCAAGGGGGCAAATATTACGAAAAGGGCAAACATCACCAAGGGGACAAATATTACGAAAAGGGCAAACATCACCAAGGGGGAAAATATTGTGACAAGGGAAGACATAACTAAGATGGCAGTAATCATCAAAACATTATGACAAGGGCAAATGTCAGAAAGATGGGAATTATCAACAAGGGGACAAATATTACGATTAGGGGAGTAACGATTCACCGATGCATTGATGTATCGGATCGAAATGACCGTGATACGATGCACCGATGGGTTGATGTATTGGATCGCGATGACTAGGATACGTTTAATTGTGTACTCTCCCTTGTTTGAACTCTTCAAAGAACCAGAGGGATCTTGGCGTTCACCATTGTACCACCTTCATTAGTTCTTTGTGAGTTTGATATTTTCTCTAAACTGTTTGATCGAGTCTTGTTAACAGTAAATGCACCTTGAGGTAACTTTTAATCTGAACTTAATATTGCTGTGTATAAAAGACAACCTTCAAAGTGAGTTTGTCATTTCACATATTTACTAGTACAGTACTTAATGTGAAAGAAATAGAATCAATCATTGCAATATGAGAAATATCTGTTTAGTTCTTCCTTTAGCCATTTTGTTTTTATGATCACTCTAAAAATATAACATGCAAAACGAGGGATCAAGGGGAACCTGCAAATCAAGTTTGAGAAAGATCCCTCAAGTTATTACTGAAATAGTACTAACAATACTGATCAGTTTCAAAAGTAAACCTGAACAATAAAGAATAGTGGGGAACCTGCATATAGAATTTGAGAAAGAACCCTCCAGTTCTTCCTGGTAAAATAGCACTAACAAACATAAACTGTCAAAATCAAAGATTTGTTTATCCGATCAGTCTCATAAGAAAATATGCATAACTTCATACCAAGGGGAACCTACATAAAACAAGAGGCCCATTGGCCTTCACGGTCACCTGATATATTTATACAGAGAGTTGATTTTGTTTTTAACATGAACAGAAATATTATTCAAAGTGACAAAAAACAATAAAACCACCTTATTCAATATCTAGCATACATATTTCAGACTAATAAGTATTTGAAACTAGCTCCTCTGATTCTAAACAAGGAAAATGAAGAAATTTTAGCACACTGACTCCTTTGAGCCCCACCCTACAGCCCTTGGGGGTAGGGCTGGCTCAAAATTTTCAAAGTATCAAACTGTCAACTCAAGGTTATAATTCCAATCAAGTTATTAACATGTAATATTCAAAGTATCATTTGCCATTATAAACCATAATAATTTCATCGAAATTGGTTCAGGGGTTTTGGAGAAGTCGAAAATGTAAATTGTTTACGGGCGCACGATGACGGACAAAAGGCGATCGCAATAGGTCACTTAAGACTTTGTCTCAAGTGACCTAAAAATTAAGAAAGATCTCTCCAGTACTTCGTGAGTAATAGCCATAACAAACCTTCGCTGTCAAAATCCAAGATGACTGCCTGTCGGCCATTTTGTTTATCTGATCATTCTCAAAACTAAACATGCACAACTACAGACCAATGGGAGCCTACATAATAAACTTGGGAAAGATCTATCCAGTACTTTCTGCGAAATGGCCATAACAAACCTTTAATGTCACAATCCAAGATGGTGGCCTGTTGGCCATTTTGTTTATCTGATCATTCTCAAAATTAAACATGCACAACTACAGACCAAGGGGAACCTACATATATAATTTGAGATGAATCTCTCCAGTACTTCCTGAGAAATAGTCATAACAAACCTTCACTGTTCAAAATCAAAGATGGCTGCCTGTTGGCCATTATGTTTCTCCGATCAGTCCCAAAATGTAACCTGCACAATTAAGGACAAAGGGGAACCTACATATAAAATTTGGGAAAAATCCCTCAGGTACTTCCTGAGAAATAGCGATAACAAGAATTGTTTAAGGACGGACGGACGACATGACGGACGACGTAGGCAGGGCGATTTGAATAGCCCACCATCCTCTGATGGTGGGCTATAAAATAGTTTTACCACTCAACAAACCAAAATGGCAGACGGAGAAGATGACAAGAAATATGTCAAGGCGTCTGCACATTTCACCAAGGGGACGAATATTACAAAGGGGACAAACATTGCCAATGTAGACAAAAAACACCTAGGGGACAAACCAGCGAACCTCACCAAGAGGACATCGCCAATGGGACAAATATTACCAAGGGACAATCACCATACAATGGATCCAAATTGATTACTAAAGTTTTATATATATCTAGGAGAACTAAATTTTGCTAGCAACGTATCAAGTCAGTAAATTTTTGTATTTTTTTCATATTTACTGTATAGATGCCAATTGTAGGGATAATATATTTGCACGTGTTTATCTATACAGTTTTGACGACCAGTGTTAAGGATGCTCACCCTGCTGATGTTGTAATCCCTGTTGTAGCTGAGTGGCTAGCTGGGCTATGATAGTCTCAGTCGTGTGGCCCTGCTGGAGTAAGGCCTGGATCTGAAGCTCGGCCACTTCAGGCCCGTAGCCATGTTGGACTAGGGTCTGTTGGAAGAACAGGTAGGTAGGGTCACCGAGTATTTGCTGTTGCTGCTGCAGGAAGATTTCCTCCTGCTGTCGCTGATGTTCGGCAAACATCTCATCTTGAGCTTTCACATTCGCCTCAAACCGCTGTCTCCGTTGCTCCTTTGTCATTTTAGGCGGCGATGGCAACAGTGTTTTCCTGCCAAAATATTCTTCTCATAAAATTTCATTTTTTAAATCATCCTTTAGGATTGAATAATAATAAGGTCCAAATTGACCAAGTCATCTTCTTCCGTGAAATTAGTTTGTTTAAAAACCCCATAAATAGGATGATTACAAGCAAAATCTGAATAAATTCATTTTACACAAACCCAACACTATTTAATACATATTTATTCATGCTTAACCATTTTGACAGGTAACGCCTCTTATCGGCACTTCTGTTCTAGGAAATTTTGCCCAATAAACTATTCACTCTTTCCGATTTAATTATTCCAGCTATTAATCATGTTTCAATCTCTTTTTTTAGTGAAGATACTATTCACAATTTGCTAAAATTTGTCATTTCTTATGAAGAGTGGAAAAGATGTAAGTAAAACTGGGGTAAGGTGAGCTTTTCTCGATACCCTGTATATATGTAATTGATTGAAAAACTACAACAGTTGGCTCTGATACCTGGGCTTGGAAGGGTCGTCATCATCCTCCGAGGGAGGAGGAGGTGGAGGTGGGCGTTTCCTCTTCCTGATCCCCGAATCCCAGCCAGCAGCTGTAACACATCCAAAACCTTGTTTGTAATTAGTGTTGTGTGATTTGTATATCAACATTAATTGAGCTGTGTGATTTATTTATTGTGTTGAAATCATAAGTTTGCAGAGACCAGCACACACACAAACACACACTGGTCTCTGGTAAGCATAAAATAACTGAATTATGGTCAATGTCATTCTATCTATGAATGAGATGAGGATTGAAATGTCATAGAATATATTAATACAAGAAGATTATGAAAGACATTTCTGTACTAATTATGTTTTTTTTTTTTTTGTGTAAAATGTTATCTCATAGAAAACAGCAAACCATTCTACCTGAATCTTATCGGAACAAGTATATAGAGAAATTGAAGTCGGGCAAAGTACTGCTAGCATTAAAGTCCAAATGCCTCGACAAATTAATGTATGACAAGCTAATTTGTTGAATCCATATCTCCTGCTTGCAAGACATGTTTAGATGTAGTCTATTGTAACCTCATTAAGTATGTTTAAATATGCATGGATCACATTCATGATCAGACTCAGCCTTAGACATGACAACATTAAAATCTGTATAACTTTGCATGGATCACAATGACAATCAAACTCAGCCTCAAACATGTTCATATGTTTGTGCAGAAATTTGACCATCTTTAGGCCAATCATTAGCTAAATGGGCCTAAATTGAACTCCTGTTTACTTCTATAAGTGGGGGATAAAAATTGAACAAATAGCAATAATTCTGCATAATGTTGGACACAATACCCCATTTTATTATGTTTCATTCCACCATTTCAAGAGTGATTTACTTATCATTACTTAACAAGATATCAAATCACTATTTCTCAGATATAATACTTTTTGATAGGTCTGATGTTAACCTGTGTTATATACTTTAGGGTGTGATCAACTGCTTCAAGCCATGATGAAGAAATCAAATGACAGAGATACAAACCTCGTATCCTTGTCTGGTCCTGTAAGCGTTCAAACTTCTCCCGTTGGCGTTGTTTGGTGGGTCGTACATCTGATGAAAACACAATCAACAAAACAACTGTTAAATTTTATAATGATTTACAAGATCAGTACACCTGGGCTGCATATCAAGAAACTCTAAGAACATTCTTAGCTTAAAACATTCTTAAATTTCACATTCCTTACTTCATTGTTCTAGGGTTAGACTTCTACAATTTTTGACATCAAGTGTTTCAAGACAAAATTTCCCCCACAAACACGGTAGGCTTCCTCACTCCCGACTCATTGGATAAATCTGCTAGGAGTTGGTAAACATTTTTGGTTACCCACTAGTGGGTAACACCCTGGACGTGATTTCATTGGTCAATTTTTGATTTATGACATCACGTAACAGTGCTTTTCAACATCACTTTCCATCGTGACGTCATGCTCCATGGCAATTGTTTCCCCCATCGGAAACACACATGATGCATTTTCCAAAGGGCAAATGTGGGGGGTTTTCAGATAAAACATGAATGCTATGGGAGAAACAGGTCCCCAAACTATTGATGATTAGTTATCACGTTTATCTAACTCTCGTTAGTTAATTTTCAAATTGTAAAAGACACTCGGTAAACCTTTGGTTCTTAATACAATTTGAAGATTAACTAACTTGAGTTAGATAAACATGATAACCAACCACCACTCGTTGGGAAACCTCTATGAAACTTCTGAACATAATTGTATTATTTCAATGAATGTTTGAGGAAATATAGCCATTTAAATAAATAGAATGCAAGTGTTGGTTCATATACAAATGCACATATTAAATATACAACCCCCAACTTGCAGATGACCACTAAAACTGTGTAGAACTTGATGTTTCAAACAAAAATATAAAACTTAGTTTCTTCAGTTATACACGAGACATCATGCATGCAAGCTTTTCTTTAAAAGTTGTCAAGTGTGACCTTGGACCCTTTTCTGATGACCTTCAAAATATAATCATGTGTAGAACTTGATGTTACTCTTCTGTAGTGTAAATATACAGTAAATCTGTTATTCCAAGGAGGATGTAATTAATACTATTTTGAGAAAAGAGATCACTCAATTGAGAAACATACCCAACAACTGCCGTTCAATCCTTTTCCGTTCCTCAACCTGCTCTTTCTTGGGGATCCTGAAGATTTCCTATAGAAAAAAACATTCAGATAAACTAAATTTGATTCTGAATTAAGTGCAAAAGAAATGCTAATACGTTTCAGCAGTATTATTGGATTGATATAATGTTTTGTCATCTGGAAAGTAAAGAAGTCACTTTCTCATAAAATTTAGCCAAAGTATAGAAACCCTATTGCCGTCATAGGCAAACAAACCCTTCAGTATTGTCCCTACTAGATCTATAAAAACAAGAATGCTGAATTGTACACCCTTCAGTATTGTCCCTACTGCAAAATTGTACTCATACATGCCATATATACTTTGACTATTATATATTTACATCCCTTCCAAGACTTTCAATAGGCCCTTCAGAGTTGGTTTTTGACTCCCAAAATGAGCTGAGACTTTCATGTTTTAACCCTTAGGCTGCTACATTGATTTCTATGTAAAGGGACACCACTGCTGAATTAATTATTGAAATATAAATTAATTTACTTAATTTTTCAAATGTGCATAACTTGAAAAATGTTTGTTATATGTGAATAAAAGTTCCAGGAAAATTGTTCGTTATTGTCTCTAGTTTATATTAACGTTTTCAATTCTAAAGTTGCTTCAGTATTTACCTGTACAGGTGGTATTAAGGTAAGAAAAGGTGAAAATTTTAATTAATTGGATTTAAGCACCAGAAAGATCATTTTAAAATTGTTTTTGTCAGCAAATGTGATTGGAAAATGATAACGGAGATTATAAACTTCATTTATAACAAAAGACGCTGTACATTCACACGGAGATTCTCAGGTAAAAAGGTCAGGTATTTCATCAAGAATTGCATGCGATTTGCTACAGGTTTCAGGTCATCATTCAATATATTTATTGTCACAGTCGGCATATAGATATAACTTAGCTACGGTCTAGTTTATGATTAAAATCATCGATAAATAGTTTGAAGAAATCAATCGGCTCAAAATGTATCAATGCAAATGTTCAATTCTGCCTCACCTGCAGACGACATGTGCGCCTCAGTCCGCCGATATTTTCATGTTTGCGTAGGGCACAAAGCCGTTCATTGGAAAGTTACGTATTATGTTACACCGAAGTATTTCCACATCAACCATGTCAAACCCTTTAAAACCTTTATTATCATCGTGACGCTGGAGAATAAATGTTTACCATCATATTCATCACTTCAATAAACACGTCCGCCATTTTTATGACGCTTTTTCCGATTTGAAATTCTCTCGCACACTTTGATTATTACTAGGGTACATTGCCGGGAATATCGAAAGTAATGACAAAACAAGAGGCCCATGGGCCTTAACGGTCACCTGAATCCTACAGTATTTATTTTTGTTGTTGAAATATGTACCAATTTGAGTAAAAAATAGTTAAGTATAATGTTAACTTAACTTTGTCAGGACCATGAGCTGATCATTCCTAGACCGATTTTAAATAAGATCGGCCTATTAGAAATTGTTTTTAAGTTTAGAATAGGTATTTACAAAATAGCAGCTGTGGTGGCCATATTGGATTTCTGATTGACCTGAAAAATAACAACACTTTGTCAGGACCATGAGTCGATCATTCCTACCAACTTTCAGTTCAATCGGCCCAGCAGAACTTGACTTTAAGTTTGAAATAGCTATTTTCAAAATGGCGGCCGTGGCGGCCATATTGGATTTCTGATCGACCCGAAAAATAACAACACTTTGTCAGGACCATGAGGCGATCATTCCTACCAACTTTCAGTTCAATCGGCCCAGCAGAACTTGACTTTAAGTTTGAAATGTAAAATGTTAACGGACGACGGACTACGACGGACGACGACGGACGAAAACGGATAGCAATAGGTCACTTGAGCTAAAGCTCAGGTGACCTAACAACCAATCAGAAGCCTTCTACTATACGCTTTCGGGTTTGGTATAGCAACAGTCCGCTTTCACACTTCCTGTTTACTGATCAAAAACCTACAGACCACGCGCCACTATTGTGGTGCGTAGCACTGACGGCCCCGACTTTTCAAAACCACTATTGTGGCGCGTAGCAGCCTAAGGGTTAAAGAACAGGGCCCGTATTCATGAAACTGTTCTCATGCTCAAGCATGAATTTTGTACTCAAACCAACTTTCTTGTAACTCACTTAAATCATGTCAAACGATCAAAAAGTCAAACATAAACACTGACTGAAGTATTTGGCTTTAAGACTCTTCATCCCCCCTCCCCCCCCCAAGGTCATTGACAAAATAAGATATTACTAGTTTATGTAAGGAACAAGAAATTAGGTTTGAGCACAAAATCCATACTTGAGCATGGGAACTGTTTCATGAATACGGGTCCAGGTCTATTTTCCGTACGACCCTCCAAAATTCAAAGAAAACTCTATTTGACTACTGAAATTGATAAATGTCAAGGGTTAACTCAAAGCTTTGGACCTTCAGATGATTGAACTCAATAATCCCCAGAACCTGTATGGTACCGTATAGGGGTGTCACAATACGCCAAGAGTGTATCCCGATATATTGCAATACAGAATAAATATATTGAGATACGTATCCCGATATATTGTCATAGGAAGGATGTTGTCAATTTTATGATAAGTTGTTGTCAGAATGTTATCAAATTTAATCATATTTGATATGGATTACATAGATTTAAGATTTTTATCAAACCAACCATCGATTACAAAATTTGAACTACTAAAAGCCTGCTTTATGCTTATTGGCATATCTGTTAGAACTTGTAGTAATTTGCAAAGTTAAAACACCAAGCAGATACATAAAAATATGCTTTTGAAAAATATTGAGATACAGCAATATTTCATCTCTGTACTGTGGTACGATACGATATGCCTGTGTATGGCGATGTACCGATTCTCTGATAAGGTGTGACAGCCCTAGTACTGTGTGTACATACCTTGAGGTCACTCCAGTGCTGTAACAGATCCTCAGCTAACGACACTACATCCACTACATCATCCTTTGGCTCTGAAGAATCACATTCTGTCGCAATGTCTTTTTCTACCCCATCCGTGTTTACGTTTAACTCCACTTTGAACGAGGACGAACTATCCGCGTCCACCTGGTCAGTGGGAGATTCCGATTTACTGTTGCTAGAATCCGCGGCCGTCACAGTTGTCTCACTTTCCATACATTTTATTGCACCATCTTTTTCTGACGACAATTTGTCGTCATTTTCTGTCGAGTCGATTTCATGTTCCTGAGTTATCTTCTCTTTGCTGTTGGAAGCGGCGCAACTCTCTAACACTTCACTGTCCATTGTTTCTGTGAGGAGTTCCTGTTTATCAAGTACTTGTCTACACAATACAGACACACCATCCTTCTTACTTGACCGTAGTAATCGCTTCTTTGAACTCTCCGTGCTGGGCGGGCTGTCAAAGTCGGTGTATAACTCATTTCCTATTATATCACTAAAACTGTCGGAGTTACTAGTTCTCGACTCATTGTCCGAACTTGAAGCATCTTCTAACGCAAATTTCACTTTCTTTTTACCCGATTTACTCTCCTTGGTCGTGGTAATGGATAAAATTGAGGTAGGTTTTTCCTTTGAGGAAGTGGGCGGAGTTGAAGGAGTCACTTGACCAATGGGAGGAGTAGAAGATATCACTTGACCAGAACTCTCATCAGAATTATCTTTTGCAGCCAGTCTCTGAATAATGGCTAGAATTTTACTGTCTTTCAGAATAGTTTTGTTGGTAATGGGTAGGATTTTCAAAGTAGAAAGTATCTGCGAATAAAGAAAAGTACTCAATATAACAAAGTACATATTTCCCAACATTCATGCCAGATGGCACTACATGCTTCTGATAACAGAACAAGGCAAGCGGAGGCTCACATAGATATATCCCTCACCCTAACCCCATTCTCCCTTCACCTTGCTTTGCTTATGACCTTTGACCCTTAGACCTTGACCAAAGACCCTTAAACCTTGACCAAAGACCACCTTATCAGATGTAGAACTCAATCTTACCATACTATGGCATAAATATATTAAAGATGTAGAGGGATTTGTGTGATATCTTGTACATTTTTTTTTTTTACTTCAAATGTGGTCATGTGTGATCTTTGACCCTTTAACCTTGACCAATGACCCCTAAATGTGATCAGATAAAGAACTCAATATTACAATAATTATGGTGTAAATATGAACTAAAAGAGTTCGTAAAGTTCACGAGATATCCTGTACACAGGCTGTTTACTAAGGACGTGCGATTGTACTGACAAAGTAATTACTTTATACCCCCCTTACTAAGTGAGAGATATAAATATATAAAATTGAAAAAGGATGTAAAAACATTTTGTATAAAATAATTTACATGTGAATTTTGATAAACATGAACTTCTGAAAAATATTTCACCATTCCAAATCTGGATGAACTGAACATCACTCTTGAGTTAACATGAAAAGAACTGACTTACGTATTCCTCAGTGCCCTCCATACAAAAACATGAACATACATTCAACCTTTTTTTCTTCACCAGACCCCAGACTCTAGAAGTTTGAGACAAATGTGTTTTACAGTTCATTAGATATGCCTCACCTGCATCTTGATGTCTGGCCCATCGTCCCGAAGGTCGACTATCCAGGTCCACAGCAGCTCCAGTCCGTGATAGTCCAGGAACAGGCGGAGACAGTTCCTCTCAGTTGTCACCTGACACAGAACATAGAAATACACGTTCTATTCGCACAATGTTTAGTAGTGTAACCTCTAAATTAGTAAACCCTTTTACAGCAGGACGCTGACAAATGTAGGAGATAAACAAGAAGTGCTGGTGTTTTTATCTGCAGAACTTTGTAACAGTGTAAGTGATTACATAGGAATACCCGAGATTTACCAGCAGAGCTCGGCCAAGTTTTACCTGGATTTTTAGTATTACAAATACATAAAATTCTGTAACAGTGCAAGTACTTTAATAGAAATCTCAGTTTTTACCTGTACAATGTTAGCACAGTAAGTGTTGTTCCTGTAGGACATTGAGCATTGGAACCACTAACACAGAAATGCTGATGTTTTTACCTGTAGGACGTTGAGCAGTGTAAGGCGGTGCTCTGTGTCCTCGGCACGAACCATCAATCGACAAAGCGTCAGTACATTCTCTGTACTCATTAAGCCCTGTGATGTCATCTCCTCAAGCTCCTGTTCCAGCTGAAAAATTAAAATACCAGACCGCTTAATTTGACATCTTCTAATTAAATTTACTATTTGAGCAATTATCACCCTTTTTTCTCTCTTCATATTCAACAAAGTCTTGACCGATTCTTTATTGTCCTATATTGCTACCCTCTAATTATCCCCCCTATACCATAAAGCATTGAACTTAAAAAAGTGAAAAAATATGCTTGATATAAATAACCTTTTAACTTTAATATTAAAATTAACATCTTTCATCAATAACATGTAACTTACCTCTTACAATGTAACAAGACACAAATAACAAAGAAGAAATTTGCTATATAATAAATATTTGCTTATTAATTACAATATAATAAATATTTGCTAATTAATTACAAAGTATATTTACAACAACTATTGATGGACAGTGATAAAAGATGCAAATTGCCTTTTCTGTTAATCATGGGTTCAATTAAGATATCTGAAAAATAGATTCCCCTTGGCCGCTATCAATTATCGTACTCCTAACAGTTTGACCAGAGTTGTTCGTTTCTACCACAATACGCTGTGTGTTATTCCACTCTCAGATCATTGTATAAACACGCAGACTGTTAGATAGATATGAGTTATATACCACACGTGGTATATGACCTTCAAGAGTTTTGATTGGTCGAGAAAATGAACTTTGACCGGGACGACTTTCCACGCGCTTTTTGCCACCTGCTGTTTTGTTTACGTCGTCTGCTGTCAACATCCGNTATATGACTTTCAAGAGTTTTGATTGGTCGAGAAAATGAACTTTGACCGGGACGACTTTCCACGCGCTTTTTGCCACCTGCTGTTTTGTTTACGTCGTCTGCTGTCAACATCCGACAAATGTTGGTGACTTTGTGTGGTTATGCGGAAAAGGGGGTTATTAAGGCAATATTAAAAGAAGATGATACTTAAAGATTTGATCGCTATAGTTTCAGGCAAAATTGCTACAGACGCTCGATATCGTTTCGACGTTACACCGTCGCATGTCCAGGTCGTGAAACCAAAACAAGATCTTTCACAATGTCGGGAAATATTTCGTTCTCCCAACATCACGCTATCGCTATTTGGACGGTCTGACTATATGGCTGAACTTTCACTATAAACGTCAACAATAGAACCGTCACGAAAAAACGTAGGCCTATGGTCTTAGAAATTGACAGTAATAAGTTTGTCTTCATCACTTGGCGGGAGGCAGACTTCGTACAATATGCTTACGCGCATATAGTCCGTGGTTAATTTATATAAATAAATGCAATATTGCTACTCTCAATATTTTAAGTCGTTCATCCATTATATTTTTTCATAACGTTGTTGCCAAAACATTAATTTTGACAATTATTAAATTTGTAAAAAAAAAGAGGTCATTTTTGAATATTAATGAGTGACTTTTTACATATGGGTCATATCACTACGCCAGCCTTGTCAACAAACACATGTGTGTATGTTATTTCCGACTGATCATGAGATTGTGGTAGAAACAGATCACACGACTCGTGGTTGTTGAGTATGGTATTTATTTCACTCTCGTTAGTTAATTTTCAAAAGTTACAGAAAGACACTCGCTAAAGCTCGTGTCTTTTGTAACTTTTGAAAATTAACTAACTCGAGTGAAATAAATTCCATATTCAACAACCTCTCGTTGTGTAACTTCTATTTATGAAATAAGGTCGGACCCAGTAATCTGATGCTGCTTTCAGGCGAGCCTTTACAAAGACTTGCCAAGGCATGTATAAACATTTGCAGGTCTGCCAGGATTTATATCTGAAAATGTTATATTACAGACAAACCAGTTGTTCCTCATAAAGGAACAGGCCCCAGAATTTTCAGTATAATTTTCATTTCATACCTATTGTATGTTTGATCATCAATTTTGTCAAATTAATGAAGCAGGCTACTGGAGAAATCCTTTTTACAGCTGGAAAGAAGTTTTCCCGAATGTGTTTATTTTTTTATTAAGGAGATAAAGTTAGTATAACGTTCTTACCTCATCCTCGAAGAGTTCCTGCTTGGTCTTCTTCTCTTCTTCTTCTACTTCCTCTACTTCCTCCTCCTCCTCCTCTACCCGTTTGCGTCCCTTGGTTGCTGGAGTGTTCTTTGTAGATCCAATAAATCCTCTACATTTTTCAGTACCACAGAAACACTTCTGTGCCTCTTTCCTACAAACCATTGAGTTTCATTTTACAAATAGCTTTCCTACCAATTCTTTCCTATAGACACCTTCACACAAACATTGAAGTTTCTCTTGACAAATACTCCTGTCAAGTGTGTAAATCCTCAATACCAAACTCTGATACAACACAACCTTCATATATCAAGACAAATTCAGTAAAACATCCACATACTAAAAATATCATAATTGAAATTACTACAACTTTAGTATAAACTGGGTTTTTCCCGTTTTTTAGTGTGAAGAGTTTACATTAGGAAAACTGGTAAGGTCGATCACATAACAGTTTTCAAAAACACGAATTGAAAATCATGTTAGGTAGTAATGAATAAACCAACCCAGGCAAATGTAAATGTCAATTTTGAACTGGAATATCTTTATAATGTGTTGAGGTTCCCATTCTAGAATAGTATGTTGAAGGATTCAATAGGACTTACCCATAAAGCTCAAACTGGTAGTCGAAGGTCAGCTCCGTGTCACCCTCAATATATTTCCGTGCGAAGAACCCGACCCTTACAGCACCGTTCACTGTCCACTGTGTGAGTCATAGAAGGGTCAGATGTCACACAACGATACAAGATGTCCAACAGCTTAAATTTCTCATCTTTTTCTTTCTGTCATACTTAATTTTTCAGAACTTGAGTGTGGGTCAATATCACTCAATTGAATAAAATTGATAATACTTCACTCAAATAAGCCAGGGGATGAATAGCATGACTCTAAGCATCACAGTTCTGCAGGAGTCCCTTGAAGCTTTTAACAATTTTGATCCCTGTGACCTTGAACTCTAACAAATAACTTGTCATCATGTATTGTAATAAACCGGATCAACTTTCGTGATTCTAGACCTAAGCTTCCATAGAAGAAATCATTAAAAGGAAATGCTGGCAACAGATTGACTTTGGGTCATCATGTAAGATCAGAAGCACTTTGGGTCAGGTGAACTTAAAATTCCAACTCTATTAATTATAATTCATAATTAAGTCTCTTACACAATATTGATTAATTCTATTCGATTACGCCGACATCTTATCTTAGAAAAAATATACCTTCTGTGTTTCACAGTTTGGATCACAGCTGTGATTGATGAAGCGGGAGATATTTCCACGCGTTGTGGCGTCAATGACCTCGTCTGCGTTCAGGGCCATGAAGTAGTAGTGCTGCTGTCCTGACTTGGCGTACTGTTTGGTGCGACTCTTGAACTGACGATAGTCCAGCACTTCTCCCACATACTCCATCACAAACTGACCACTGCAAAGGGAAAAAGACCAGTGGTCAAAACTACCAGTACAAGAACAGCTGTAACTTTAAACATACCACATACAAATAGATAAAACCCACTACTGTATAACAGGAAACTTTGGCCCAGTCAATTCATCCTTCACTGGTAAAATCTATATTCACCTGGTGTTAATTTCGCCCTTAAAATGCTATAACTATATAGGTGTGCTGTTTACTTACATTCACTGTTATGATCAATTCGCCCTCATTGCGATTGGCGAAAAGTGCGAAAAATTGTCGTTCAATTGTTTTTCTGTCACAGAATTTTCCAAAATATAGAAATCTAAGATACAACTGTACTCTGAGATTCAAAAGTACAGTGTGCATACAATGATAGTACAGTGTGCATACAATGATAGTACAGTGTGCATACAATGATAGCGAGTATATTTTGAAGACCAGAACTCATTTATGTAAGAAAACTAGAATTATTAATTCATTGACCCCTCTGAACGTTGACAGGCCTGCATTTAAAAATTTGAAGTCAACTTATAAGTGAAATCCATACGTACGGTACAAGTTCTTCGTTTGTTTTCAGGCCAAATCCTTTCCAGGACGTCCTGAAAGGTTCCACGTCAGAATACTGCTTCTGAAATCATCAAGCAAACAAATCATGAACGTAGTTACCAAAACTAACCTAGTAAAATTTTAACTTTTACTTCACATCAAAATGTATACATACAACTTCACACTGTACCAGGAGTTAACACGACTTTCTGAACTAAATGCCATTTTTTTGAAAATAGTGGAAAATATATTTGCAGAGTAACAATCATATCAAGTGTTACACATAAGACTTAGCAGATAATTTCTATCATTCAATGTTTACGCCGCTTTACCTCCAAATAAACACACTGAAATCTCTGTTGGAAATATGCTCAGTATTTTCAGGTGGATAGCTGGTTACTTTGTGATGTATTCAATTGTAACATTGTCTTTCTTCGTAGATTTGTTAAATGCACAGTATATAAACATGTTTACTATCTATCATATGTTTACTACTGGTATTTATAGCATATAAATCAATGGAATAGAAAGATAGTTTGCAGGGCATAGTTTCAGAAATAATATTTATCCATAAAATCTGTTGAAAGTGACCGCTGGGAAGAATGAAGCTTGGGCCATTTTCTTTTAAACGGTTGAACCGGTTGGACCAAAGTTGTTCATTTATTAAATATAGTCGGACCTAGTAATCTGATGCTGTTTTCAGGCAAGCCTTGATAAAGCCTTGCAAGGCCTGCATAAACATTTGCAGGTTCGCCAGGATTTATACCCAGAAATTATGTTACATTCAAAGACGGACAAACCGAATGTTCTGCATAAACGAACAGGCCCTAGGTCTTACCTTCTGGATCCTCTTGTTGGTACAGTACTCCCCACACTGGCAGCGGGATCCACTAAAAACAGTTACATAAGTTAGCAGTGATTATAAGACCCTTACAAGGTGTAAAACCGGGAAATTCCAACAAAGGGGTTTTCAATTTGGTGAAACCCAAGGCTTGCCTAAAATTTTGCACCAATTTGAAAATATGAAGCTGGAATACAATCCTGGGCATTACGAAGTATTCATTTTTTCTTTCCAACCAAAATAATTAGCTCAGAAACAACAATGAGGTGTCAGTTTCCATATCACATCATCAAAGTATTCCTGATTTCATGACGTCAAGAACTTCTTGTAATTCACAAAAATTAAAGATAAACCATTCTAATTTAGATTTCAGAAAATTCAGTTTCAAATTTAGGACAGTAAGAATATTGAACAGTTTCCCACAGACAGTTATAGACTCAACTACAATTATAGTATTCGAGGTCAAATTAGATGATTACTGGAAAAATATAGATATGAAATATGATCACTTGGCAAATTTATAAGTTTTTACATGTTTGTTAAAATTGAATGTTCATGAATTATATGTATTTTATCACTTATATGGATATAGAGGCAGTAATTTGCCTGCGTCCATCCTTTTACCTATTAAATCCTATTGTAATGTTACATACTTGAAATGGGGTGTAAGATAGACATTTCTTACACTCCCCCCTCCCTCCCTCCCAGATCTGTCATGTTAACATAAGAGAATATAATATCACAATGCAGCCTGAACACAATCCAGTCCATGTAGAGGCTGTACATGTTTGTCACACAACTGTATGGCTCAAAGCGATTCACCACTCCGTTTGCGATTCACCACCTTTTAAGTATTTATGACTCGCTATGTACGCCTCATCATATTATGTATGAATCATTGTGACTCAACAATGTATGCGAGTCACCACCCCTCATTTGACTCACTATGCACATCTCAATGTGTTCAGCTTGTGGTTTTGTGACTATCCGTGTGATTTGTCACCGTTTTTGTGACTCGCTATCATTTGAACGATGTTGTACGACTAATCCCTTTATGCAAGGCACATTGTGCAAGACACTCTATGACTCAACATTGACTCTCAACCCTGTGTATGACTCGTTGTGTGTGACTTGTGGCTTTGTGACTGGCTGTGCTACTTATCACTGTGTGTGTGACTCAACTCTGTATGACACAACACTCTGTGTGCTACTCGCTACTGTTTATGACTCAGCACTCTGTGTGCTACTCGCTACTGTGTATGACTCACTCTGTGTGCTACTCGCTACTGTGTATGACACAACACTCTCTATGCTACTCTCTACTGTATATGACTCACTCTGTGTGCTACTCGCTACTGTATATGCCTCACTCTGTGTGCTACTCGCTACTGTGTATGACTCCCTCTGTGTGCTACTCGCTACTGTGTATGACTCACTCTGTGTGCTACTAGCTACTGTGTATGACACAACACTCTGTATGCTACTCGCTACTGTATATGACTCGTTGTGTGTGACTTGTGGCTTTGTGACTGGCTGTACTACTTATCGATGTGTGTGTGACTCACTCTGTGTGCTACTCGCTACTGTGAATGACACAACACTCTGTGTGCTACTCGCTACTGTATATGACTCACTCTGTGTGCTACTCGCTACTGTGAATGACACGACACTCTGTGTGCTACTCGCTACTGTATATGACTCTCTCTGTGTGCTACTCGCTACTGTATATGACTCTCTCTGTGTGCTACTCGCTACTGTATATGACTCTCTCTGTGTGCTACTCGCTACTTTGTATGACTCGTTGTGTGTGAGTTGTGGCTTTGTGACTGGCTGTACTACTTATCGATGTGGGTGTGACTCACTCTGTGTGCTACTCGCTACTGTGGATGACACAACACTCTGTGTGCTACTCGCTACTGTATATGACTCCCTCTGTGTGCTTCTCGCTACTGTATATGACTCACTCTGTGTGCTACTCGCTACTGTGTATGACTCATTGTGTGTGACTTGTGGCTTTGTGACTAGCTGTACTACTTATCACTGTGTGTGTGACTCAACTCTGTATGACTCCGCACTCTGTGTGTTACTCGCTACTGTGTATGACTCACTCTGTGTGCTACTTGCTACTGTGTATGACACAGCACTCTGTGTGCTACTCAACCCTGTGTATGACTCGTTGTGTGTGACTTGTGGCTTTGTGACTGGCTGTACTACTTATCACTGTGTGTATGACTCACTCTGTGTGCTACTCGCTACTGTGTATGACTCACTCTGCCAGACTTGCAGGGTATGGACTCTTTGTACTCACCATTCTATGTAGAGCATACGGTTGAGGCAGTCTTCTCCACATGCGACAAGTCCCATCTCCCGGTCCTCTTGTGTCGCTGTACAGTCACACAGCATTCGCCGTACCTCCTTCATCTTCTTAGACTTCTTCCTAATATCACATAACATAGCAGAGTTGGCAAAGCTCACCGACTGACAAATATATAGTATACAATACAAAGAATACCATATACAGGGAAATTTTTACCTGATCAAATGTTCACGTTTTGACGGTAAAATCCACATTTGTCCAGTTTTATTTTCCCCCCTTCACATTTAATTACTTTGTGTTGTTTACTAACATCCGCCCTCATTACGGAGAGCAAAATAGGTGAAAATTTAACTGTAGCAAATGTTTCTCTGTATACAGAAATACTCAAATCTCAGCTAAACACCAACAAAAAACTGTAATAAAGTAAATTTTACGGAGTTCCTCCTTAATTGATCTGTAGTCTGTGTTTTACCATGAGAAGAGATTTATTAACAATGGGTGAGCTGGACTCGATCATTTACATTGTTATCTGGGGCTCATTTATCACCGTAAAAGTTTCATGGTTTTATCTTACTTTGTATATAGAAATATTACCTTTCACCCAGGTAGATGTTGTCCTCAATACGGTCAAAGTGTGGAGGTTTGTTCTCATCAACCATCTCCTCTTCCTCCTCTTTCTTCTCCTCCTTGATTTCAACCTCTTCCACTGGAACTGGTGGAGGAACTGGCTTATCCTTCTCTTTCTCTTTTTCCTTCCTTTTGCCCTCCTTCCTGCTGGGTTTGTCACCCTTTAAATTAACTGTAGGTGAAATGACGAGATCTGAAGAGGGATCCCAAGCATCATACCTTTCTTTCTTCACTTCTGTGTTTTGTTTAGATGGAGTTGTCTCCCTTCCTTCACTTAGCTGACCATCACTTGTATGTTCTGTTTTCTGACTAGACCCCTCTGATGAGGTAGATGTTGGAAGATTGGAATCTCCTGGTGGAGACGGTGGTGGCAATGGGCTCTCAAGTTCACTGAACCGCAGCCACCTTGACTTGACCTTGAACGGACGGCTGGATGCCGGAGGAGAAGTCATTGCCTGTTCCATCTCTTTACGAGCCTGAAGCTCTTGTTTGATGCCAAGTTTTATCGGAACTCCATGCGGTACATTGATTGATGCTGGGAAATCACCGACACTGGAGGTTGGTAGTGCTGGTGATGACGACGGCGGGGGTGGTGTACTCCCACTGGGCGACACTGCTACCTCAGAAACCTTCTCCTCCGATGAAGTGGGGACCTGTGTGACATCTTCTGGCAATGACATTTTAGAAAACAGGTGAGATCTTGGTGATGATGACTTCCCAAACTTTTTATGGGGCATAGATGATGTGGTAGAGGAGGCTGTTGGTTCTGGAACCTCCTTCAGGAGGGTCTGGTCTCGTAGAGCCTTCGGGAATGGTGCTGGTAGCATCTTCGCTGTCGAAGACACAACTGGTTTTGGTTCAGAATTCTCAAACGAAGATGATACCTGGATCTTTTTGCCAAACATTCTCTGTAACGGTGGCATTTGGGTTTCCTGTGTGGGAATATGATGATGTGCAGTGTTTGGTGGGGTTTGATTAAATGACGAGGTAGAAGGAGACATGGTTTTGTACCTTGAATCAGGAATGTTGGCTATGCCTGTAGGGGGAGCCACCTCCTCTGGGTATAGTCTCTGTATAGGTGCTTGCCCCCGAGAACCTAGTGACGGTGGTACTGGGTTTGCAGAGGGCAGACCCTTTGGTGGGTACGCAGCTGTCTGTGAGCCATACATACGCTGCTGAGGATCCATATATGGAGGGTTCCCAATAACAGGTTGTAGGGGCAGGGCAGAGTGACCTTGAGTTTGCTGTATCAAGGTCGATGGATTTAACTGTCCGTGCATATGAGGGGCCATGTTTAGACCCATATCAACAGACTGTGGCTGTAAGGCTGGGGGTGCCTGGTTGTGCAAACCATGTGCTGGAACAATCTGCCCCTGAAGTCCAGTTGATTGTCCTGGTTGGAGTCCTGGATGTCCGGGTGGGAGTCCTTGACCAGGGATCCCCTGGGGTGGAGGTCCTTGACCAGCTATCCCCTGGGGTGTAGGTCCTTGACCAGCTACCCCTTGACCAGGAATTCTTTGGGGTAGGAGTCCCTGGGGAGTGGGTCCCGAGAGAGGAACCTGACCAGGGAATTGCTGGAAGCCAAGCTGGTTTGGAAGGGGTGCCTGCGTCGGAGTTTGCTGGTACTGACTTCCAAACATGGACATCTCAGCCGGTTGGGGTGGCACCTGGTGCATGGTGGTTGCTTGATTCCCCGTTGGTGGGTACATCCCCTCAACCATGCTCCCAGCAACTGCCCCATGCTGCTGATAGTCTGGGTAATTTTGATAATACTCTGCTGCGTTTGCATGTGAGATGGTGGTGCCTGTGGAAGAGCAGGAAGATGTTTTCTGGAAGAAAACATTGTACATACTTTGTACATAGTCTGATGATTGATTAGATGTAGGTATTGCAGACATTTTTTTGGTACCGTCTTTTCCTGTCAATTTGGACTCAAATTCTAACCAAGAACTGTCTGTCTTGTCAGACTGTTTGTCTTTAGAGGATTTCTCATCACGATCTCTATCTTTCTCCTTTTCCCGATCTCGGTCTGATTGACGTTTGATGGATCTATCGTTCTCGTCTCTATGGCTCCGCTTATCCCTATCACGACTTACTTCTCTACTTCTGTCACGTGTGCGATCTCGACTTTGGTCACGTGTGCGATCTCGACTGTGGTCTCGTCCACGATCCCTACTACGCTCACGACTACGGTCCCGACTATGCTTGCTCCTTCTCCTGTGATGGCGATCATCTCGTTCCCTTTGTCGTCTATTTCTATCTCTGTCCCGACTCCTATCTCTACTGTGTGCTTTTCTGTGATCTGAGCTACGATCTCTGTCTTTGTTTCGATCAGGTGTTCTGTCACGTCGGTCCCTACTTTTTTCAGGGGTACGATCCCGGTCTCTCATTCTGTTTCTGTCCCTTCTTCTTTCAGGAGTTCGATCGCGATCTGCACTTCGATTGTTACCACGTTTGTCGAATCTTTCCCGATCTTGATCATACTCATCATAGTCCCTCGAATGTTTCTTTCTTTTATCAAACCTGGATCGATCTCTATCATTGTAACGTTCGTTGTCCCAGGTTCTCTCCTCGTACCATCCCTGTTCCTTCTCACCACCTTCAAGCTGACTTATCTCGGCCTCGTCAAAGCGATCACGCTCCTGCTTAAAGAGCTCCTTTTCCCCTCTGCTAGTGTACTGATCAGAAAACCCATCTTCAAATTGATCATTGCTCGACTTGTACTGGTTATAGTCCCCGTCATTATAGTCAGACATGTTGTGATCATACACCGATGTGTTTTGCTTCTCCTGACTCGATTTCCGACTCCAGGTTGTCCCTTCCACAACGGACTGGTTACTATTACCCATAACAGTAGGTTTCGAAGCTGCTTTCAGTGCTACATTTTCCTCTGCTATTTTTAATTCCTCAGCAGCTGGTACAACATCTGGCACAGGAACACTGCTGACCACGGTCTCGATAGCCGACCAGCGTGATCTCGGCTTGGTCGGTTTGTCAGTGGCACAAATTACCTGGATTTTGTTAGCAGGTTCCTCACTGAATCGTGTGATAACTGTGCCAATGCCATGCTCTCTGTTGCCACTTTCGCTGACTTTCTCCTCGGGATGTTTATCTCCTTCCGACTCGGACAGAATCTCTCCTTCCTCCATGTTATCTTTCTTTTCTTTCTCCAATGCTGGTAATTCCACATCCGGTAATGGTATGTTACACAGAACTTTGTCGGTAAGGAGAGCACCACTCATTGTTTTAGACGTATCCTCTTTTTCACTTTGTGCACAGTTGGCGAGTTCTAGCACACAAGGGTCCTTCTGTATGCCAGAAACAGAATCTGCTTCCAATGTTCTTGACAATTTTGGTTCCATTTGTGTGATAAGTTCCCGACCAATGAAAGAGAACTTTTTCATCTTGATAGCGTCTTCAGATATAATCTCCATCGGGAAGCCACCCGGGCTACTGATGATTGATTGTGGATTAGCTTCCTCATCACAGCTGGTCAAAAAAGTTACCTCCCCTGACTTTCTACCGACAGCAGTAGTACTTTCAGAACCCTCCTGAAAATGTGAACCAGTTGAAGTTGTTTTGGGGATCTGTTTATCACCTGTTGAAATTGTTTTTGATATTGTCCTCTCGCCAAGAGATGGAACAGTCTGGGTCACATTTATATTTTGTCCAGTACCTAAGAGCAAATTCTCATTGTTTAGTTTTGGTGTGTCGGTTGCATCTTTTACAGGACTTTCTATCATTGTTTTAATGTTCACTATGATTTTCTCAGGCTTGCGTCCGATCGTAAAAGGTTTTATAGACACTGTTTCCACCTTTTTTTCTTCTGTGGCTTTTGAATCCTCACCAGAGCTTGCAGGTACATCAATAGTTCGTGACGGTGTAGATGTAACCTTTGTTTCAGAACTTACAGAGTTTGAAGTGTTCACAGCATCCATGCCAACACACACAGTGTCTCTTGTTTTGTCAGCAAACAATGCCCTACTTTCACTTTCTATATGTGTTATACATTCTTCACTAGGTAATGCAATGTTCCTCACACTACTAACACTTGATGCCCTACTTTCACTTTCTATATGTTTTTTACTTTCTTCACCAGGTAATGCAATGTCTCGAACACTACTAACACTTGATAACCTACTTTCACTTTCCGTATATATAGCGCTGTCTTTCATGACTCCCAACTTTTCAGTATGACTAGACTTATCTAACTTTTCCTCAGCCATTTTGTTCACAATATCCTCCCCAGTCAAAACTTTGTCACATTTTTCTTCCGACATGGATGAAACTTCAAGTTGAGGCTCCAATTCCATCTCACTATCATCATCTAAATCCATGTCCTCATTTTCGTAATTTGTTCCTTTGTCTATATCTGTCTTTGGCGGAGCTATAGAGGAATCTGGCATCACAATATTTTTGAAGGAGATCTCCTCATCTACCTGTGTGTGGTTCTCGGTGGAATCCTGCCCTTCAGGAAGTGTAATCGAGGGCTTTTGTGCTGATTCTGAGGTAAAATCCGACTTGACCCGATTAGAAACTGCTAACATCGGCACTTCATCAGTTGAGTCTGGGCCAGTTTTTTCTTTAACATTCACAAGTGATCCTTCCTCAATATGGGACGTTCTAGTGTCGCCATCTGACGTAGGCAATACAACTACTGATGTTTTAAAATCATTCCCTGTATTTACATCACCTCCTGTACTACTTATATCACTTGAAGCATCCTCAGTTTCCATTTGACTCATTGTGGATTTTCTCCAGGTGTGCTGGCGAACAATCGGATCAGGTTTACTAGTAATGTCCGTTTCTGGTAAATCCTTGACCTTTGACCTTGTTCTGATGCCCTTAACCTCAATTTGAATGCCTGTCTTTTTCGTTTCGCTTTCATCGGCTGGCACTACCGTACTTTCATCATCACAGTTAACAAAAGAGTTGCTCTTTGGCTTGATCTGTTCCAACTGGACGTGGCAGTCGGTTGTGGGCACAACAAGGTCACACTTCATAAGCAAGTCACTTTTAGGCACCACAGGATCACACTTAGCAACAGAGTCACTGTTTTGCCCTTTAGAGTTCACTTTGCTTTCATCCTCTTCCCATGTTGGTCCTGTTTTGAGTGGTACTATAACTTTCGGAATACCAAATTTAATTGGCTGTCTTGTTTCAGAATCAACATCATCTGTCAGTGCAGAAGGTGTCTTTAAAACCCTGCCTCTTGTCAATCTGCGTCCAAAGCTCAAACTTATTTTCCCCGTTTGTTCCTTACTGTCCTCCTCAATTTTCACAGAGCTGACATCTTTCCCTTCAATATTACTAGCATTCTTTTCTGCTTGAAGTTTTTCCATTGCAGCTCGTAGTTTTTCGTTTTTAACTCCAACAAATTTGATGTTCTTATCCTCGAGCTTTGTGGCCTCGGACGAGGCTGGTTTGTCTATCGTCACATCTGACTGAGATGGGCTCTCTGTTTCCATGGCTTCAGCTGATGGTTGTTCTGTAAACATTGGCTTTACAGCCTCCAGAATTTTAGGTGGTTCCGGTGGAAGGACGATGGACGCCAAGTCAACAACCGCTGGTGGCGTAACTTTTACCTCACATTCGTTTAGTTCTGCCTGTTTTTCAAATGGTTTATCTCCCTTTCTATCTGGACTATGAAAGTCACTAAATATACGGATTTTTATCCCTTCTCCTGGTAGAGCGATACTTGAGAGATCAACTGAGATAGGACTTGAAAGCTTTTTATCAATTTCCTTAGGGAATTTCAAATTTCTATCTTCCTTTTCATGATCTGATGACGATCCTGAACGATTTCTATGCCGTCGACTTCGTTTTGATGATCTAGTTTCTCTACTGCTATCCCTGGAATCATCTACAGAGCGTTGTGAGCGCGTTTTCCTCCTCCCCATACTTCCATCCTCTGAATTCTCAATTATTTTTTTGTCTGTACCCTGATCCTCAGGAGCATCACTTTCATCCCGACTTCTTAATCTCCTAGATCGTGTCATCCTGCCAGCATCTGGAGTTACAGCTTCATTTGAGGCTTTCTCATCCTTTGACATTCTTTTTGATCGTCTACTTTCCCTGGGACTACTTTCCTGAGATTCTGATGTGTATGACCTTCGTGACCTCAATGACCTTCGCCCTGATTCTTCTTCAAGGGAGTCAGAGGGAGCATCCTGTGATTTCTTTAAAGACATTTCAGAAGTTACCATGTCTTGGGTAATAACTGCAGTAATATCTTTATCTCTACTGTCAGAAATTTCTTTCAAATCCAGTTCTAACTCATCTTTAACTTTGGAGTCATTTGCTGCAGGAGTCTCCGATTCATCAGCAGATTTGCAGGATTTATCTTCAGTAGTTGTGTTTTCCACTATTGTAAGAGTCGAATCTTTCCTTATCCCCAAAGACTCTGAATCAGCAGTCTGCTCTGTTTTTGTATCGAGGGATGTTTCATTCAAAAACTTTTCAAAGTCCTCATATTCCTGTATTATTTTGTTACTCACATTTGGAAGAATGTCCTGATCTTTTTCTGATTCTTTTATATCTGTAATTCCCTTCTCCACATCAGCTGTCCCGGTCACATCATCAACAGGCAATGTTTTGTCTATGTTCAAAGCAGTTGCTTCCCCTGAGATTGCACTTGTTAATTGACTTGTCGAGTCCGTAACGTCAGTAACACGACAGATGTTATTGTCCCCAACACTTCGTATAATGTCCACAGCGTGACCCGAGGTCTGCTCATTAATTCCAGAATCGATTATTTCAGTCGCTTGTGACTGATGTAATGTTTTCTTAGTCTCATTTTCATTGGAAGCCTTGGCAACTTTTGTGTCACTGTCCATATCAGAATCATCTTCGGAGTCATACTGAACTAGAGGTCGTAATGTCACAATACTACTAGGAACTGGTGATTCAGTCTTTGGCGAATCGTAGGAAACTGACGGCACACTTCCCTTTAATGGAGAATCAAAGGAAACTGATGGTACAACTTCCTTCATTGGTGAATCGTAGGATACTAACGGTGTGACTTCCTTACTTGGAGAATCATAGGAAACTAAAGGATTTATTTTCACAGAATCGTCATCTTCCTTCTGTTCATTTTCCTGTTCCTGACTCCAGCGTGATTTTCTATGAGATTCTTTGTGTTCTGGAGAGGTATGAAATCTCCTGGACCTTCTTCGCCTTGGTTCTTCAACATCAGGCGACCTTTTACGGCCTTTCTCCTTTTTCTTTCCTTCCACGCTCTGTGAATCCTTCTTAACTGGCCAATGTTCATCACGTTTACGATGAGATTCATCTGACCTACCATAAGCTTTCTCACTGTCTCTTTCATGATCCAATAAATGTTTATGAGATCGTTCATCATTACGGTCTTTTTCATCAAGTTTACGATAAATTGCTTCCTCTGATTTTCCCCTTTTCCTCCTTTCCCGATCATGGTCAGGAGAATGCTTCCGATGAGATGATTTTTCGTCATCGTGTTTCTGATGTGATCTGCTTGCCTCCAAATTTCCTCTCTTACTCCGTTTACTGTCAATTTCCTTTTCTAATGAAATTTCTCGACTTGAAGACCTTTCCTCAATCTCATCATTTTCTTTCTTAATAATCGATTGGTCTTCCTCAGACTTTTCTCGCTTACTCCTTGCTGAGTCTTTATCAAGCCCGCTGCTAGAAACATGTTTATGGTTCAAATTACTTTCATCATGCACCTCAATTTCCTCAGATTTCTCAATTTTACTTGTGTTTCCGTCTGTATTGCGTTTGGAAATAATATTTTTGTGGGAAGAATTAATTTCATCATCACTATCTTCTCTCAGATGAAATTTACTATCCCCAGACTTCCTTTTATTCCTTTCTTTATTTTCTTTCACAGGCTGGTCTTTTGTTTTTGATTTCTGCACAGAGTCCTCGGCCTCTGCATCTGAGGCACTTGATGACCTCTGTGACCTTTCTCCTGACCTTGAAGAGCCCTTGTTTCTCCTCTCCTCACTCTTTTCTCTAGAGCTATGACTTACAGAATCTCCAGCATATTTGGATTTTGATTTTCCGCTGTATGTATCCTTCCTTGACCTTGAATCTGGGGACATTGATCTTTCATACTCTTTTGTCCTCTTACTTTTACGTCCTTCAGAACTATCTGGCCGAGCATCAGGACTCTTTGATCTGGATTTCTCATGACGACTTCTGGATTTGTTTTTCCTGAACTCGGGTGACCCCTCATCATCAGACGATTGCCTTTGTCTACTTAATCTACTTTTCCTGTCAGTTGACTCTGGTGATTTTGACCTTCCACAATATTCTCTGGTTTTGCGCCATGAATCTGAACTCCTAGTTTTTCTATCTACTTCTGGAGACCTTGACCTTCTCCTGTGATCTTTTGACCTTGACCTACTGCCCCATGATGAATCTCTGGATTTAGGGGATGTTGACCTTTGACAGCTGTCATTTGACCCTTGATTCATCTTTGGTTCCTTACGATTGGCTACAGCTCCTTCCCTTTCCCTGTCAACCGTATCCTTTATCCTGGAGCCTATTTCAAGTTCCATGTCATACACAGTCGGATTCATTCCTTTGTCTGCAATTTTTTGCGCGGCTATTGTGGATTTCTCTTTTACAATTGGCGTTGTTGTGGACTCTTTTGAAGTATCCGATGACTCTTTATTTGAATCCTGGATTTTTGCATCCTCCTCCTCCTCATCGTCTTCAGTAGACAGCCTCAGCTTCAACGGGTTACGATTAGTCACTTTAGCACTGTTCTTAAGGGCAAACTGGATACGACTGCCTGATGTAAGGGAAACTTTAGACTTCTGCCCAGGTCTCAGCCCACTTCTTAAATTGACAGAAACTTTATTCACTTGTGCGACAGTGCTGTCCTTTTCTTGTGTTTGTGACTCTGCTTTCTTTTTCTGTTGGAACCTTTCTAACAATTTCATGGCAGTTGACTTTATTGGATCAATGGGCGGCAAGATTTGAGTGTACGGAGAATCTGAAATAACATCCTCTGAGCTTTGTTGTGGATTTGTTTCATTAAAGTTCTCCTTGGTAGAGGTTGATAAATCTGTTTGGATAGCATTAGGTGCAACTACTGGAACTGCAGCAGCCTGCTGTTCGTCTGGCTGAGAAGGAAGGTCCTCTGAAGCATTTGGAGGTGGAGGCACAGGCATAGGATGTGTCTGTTGCAGAGGTGGTGCCACCAAGTTGTACTGTTGCAGTGGTGGTGTCACCAAAGTATTCTGTGGCAGAGGTGGTGCCACAGGATGTGTCTGTGACAGAGGTGGTGCCACAGGATGTGTCTGTGACAGAGGTGGTGCCATTGGAGTTAACTGTTGCAATGGTGGAATGGCATGTTTGTTTAGCTGCCACGGTAACTCTGTAGGTGGCTGAGGTGGCATTGTGGTTGGTTGCTGTGGAAAGGTTGGTTGTGGTACTTCTGGTGTCTGTGGAAGTGGTGGAGGTACTGAAGCTAGTTGCTGTGGTATCGGTGGTTGTGGTGGTGGCAGCTTTGGAGCAGCTAGCTGTTGAAAGGGAGGTGGCATAGGAATATGATCTAAGGCATCAGGAACAGGACCTTGATCAAGTTTTACAGAAGATTGGGAGGGCCCTGGTGGTGGTACTGGGGCCTTGGACAGCTCCTGAAGGAGTTGCTCTTGTTGTTTAGCAAAATCTGGCAATTCAAAATCTAGTGGCAAAGGTGGCATTCCTTGACTGAATTCATGTGGCATTCCTTGTAAATGCTGAGGTTTCTGTTCTGATGCACAAGTTCTATCTTCAAACTGCTGAGGTGGAGGTGGAGGTGGTGGGTTACTCTCGTATCCCAACAAATCTTCATGGTGCTGCATGTGCGCATCACCATGGAAACCCTGAAATTGTTCCCCCTGCTGAGGACCAAAGTGCCCTGGACCCTCACCTGGTCTACACTGGTGATCCCCTCTGAATGATCTACTCCCCATCCTAAACTGCATTGGTCCATCCCCCAACAGGGATGGTTGGCCCCTGTTTCCACCATGTATCCTATCCTGATTTGGATGAAATGGTTGCTTCATTTGGGACTGTGGGCCTCCCATATTGTGATGTGGGGGGGCTGGCCCTCCCATGTTGTTATGAGGTGGGGGGCGTGGCCCTCCCATGTTGTTGTGAGTTGGGGGGCGTGGCCCTCCCATGTTGTTGTGAGGTGGGGGATGTGGACCCCCCATGTTGTGTGTGCCAGACTCAAAATCTTGGTACGGAGATCCCATAAACTCAGGGCCATTATCTTGAGGATTAAAATTTGGTGGACGCTGAAATCTGGAACCACGCCCAGAAAAATTTGGCCCTCTGAATGACTGTTGCATGTTCATAAATTCACCATCATTTCGACCTCGGTTGCCACGACCCCAACCACCCCGATGTACAAATGGCCGTTGTCTTGGAGGTCGGCCCCGTTTACCAAACTGACCTCCCTGCCATGGAGGCCACTGTCCATCGAATTCCATGATCTCCACTTCACTGGGTACATTCGGTTCACTGTCGTCAGGGAAAAGATGTGGCGGTTCAGCATCTACCTCAACAGGAATAATTATCTCATTTTTCTTCTTTTTCTTTTTCTTGTTTTTCTTGCGACCTGAAATGAGTTGACAATATTGCAATTGAACTGCAGAGTTTTACAAACTTTTCTCAGTTGTGCACATAAAACAAACTTCATACCCTTAAAGTTAGAAATGAAAAATTTAATTTAAAAAAAACAACAAATCTCTCAACTAAAAACTCTTTAGAACAAAAGATTGAAAACAAAGCTAACAGTATTTATCCTACAGTAAGCCATAATCTCCCACTTAGATTAGGGGGTGGGTGTATTACAGGACAATGAAGTAGCACTCGTTGACTTCTCTGCAATAAATACGTGCGAGTTCATTACCAGGTATGGGTTTATTGCTGAATAAATACAATCTTTGTTTAAAGTTCCAGAAAGGCAGTATCCCTACTAACCGGGTGTACTCGACACATCGTCTGAACTTAGCAGATCAATGCCTCCTATGACCATGTTTTTGATGATTTCTGACATCTCCTGAGAGGTTGTGATCGACTGTTCACTGCTCCCCGCCACATCATCCCTGAAAACATAAAATCAGATTGCTATACAGCCGTATCCCCTTGACAACTGTATACCGAGACATTTTCGCCCAGTCAAAACTTTCACCCTTCGCCCATGAAATCAGTTTTTGTCCAGTGCTAACTTCGCCCTTCACCTTTAATTACTATGTTTATCATGCTGTTTACCGGTATTCACTGAAATGATAAATTGCCCTCATTAGGGAGGGCTGAAAATGCAAAAATTTAACTGCAGCAAAACATTCATGGTATACAGTATAATTTTACTGATGTTCTATCATTATTCCAACCTCACCAACACAAATCTAAGTATTGTCCATGGTCATCCAATTTTATACAGTGTGAATGGTCGTAAATCAAGTCAGCAAAGATTTAGTTAAGTGGCTGACTGCAGGACACTTGGATTACTGAAAACTTTTTGAATAGCAACAGTTTCCAAACAAATGGCTGTAAAGCTAGTGGAAAATCAAGTGTTGACCCAATTACAACACTCAACTGTAGTCAATTGTGGGGAAGGGGCATGTATTTTACATCAGGGCTAGGACATTTTCAAAATTTTGCCTTGAAAATGTAAGTGCTGCTTATAAAAAAAGTTCATAAAATAAAATAACTTTTACAGGCTTAGATTTTAACAATCTAACATAGAATTTTTCAATTAAATAATCTTATGATTTGATTTCAACTTGCCTGAAATTTAACCTTAACATATCAATATTCAGGTAGATATAGTTACACAAGATATGGCAGGAGTCCAGTAAAAGAGTAAATTCAAATAAAATTTATTTCAAAATATTACTTGCTACTTGATTGGCTCACCTGCAGAAGAAAATTTAACATAGGGTATAATGTGATCTGCAAAGCTTTGAATTTATCTTCCATTCAAGCATATTTGCAAGTATTAATTTCGAAGCCTTGGCCCATATTCATGAAACCCTTCTCATGCTCATGCCTGGATTCTGTGCTCAAACCAGTTTTCTTGTAACTCGCTTAAATGATGTCAAACTATCAAAAAGTCAAATGTGAACATTTAAAACAGTATTTGGCTTTAATTCTCTTCAATTTTTGTTCAAAATCATTGATAAAATTTCTTTTTTCGCTTATTTATAACCGGAACAAGAAATAAGGCTTGAGTAATTTACATGTATCACAAAGGTAAGAAAATGTTGGAAAAAAATAATGAACAAAAAGGCCTTTCCGGCCGGAGTCTAGTATTTTCAAACATTTTGAATCCCAAGTTATATATTTTATCCTACATCTGTTGTTTTTTATCTATTCTATATCTAATTGTAATTATAATGCACTTTTACTTCTACTTCAATTCACTGTGCCTACAAGACAACTTGCCCTAGATCATAAAATTATTTAAATTATGCTGTTCTAATGCGCATACAAACATCTGTCACATGATGGCCTTCATTTCACCGCTGATGTCGTAATTCTGGACGACCTTGCCATTGCTTCTCTCCTGCCAGTTCAACATAGATGTATGTACGTGGCTTTTGGAAGAGCATTGCACATGCATGGTTTGTTAGAAAGGTAGTGCATGTGTATTGTGTTCTGTCTGATAATACATGATTACGAAATGTACCAGTAAGTAATTATCAAATGAAACAGGACTGTTGCATCACTGACATGGTAGAATTATGTATATTACATCAAAGAGTTAAGCTATCAAGCCATCTCAAGACAAATCAGAATGGCTGAGATTTTCTTTATTACCAACATTTAAATTCAAATATGCATGCTCTGGGAAGGGTTTTCAATTTCATATTGAGAGTACTTGCCCGCAGGCAAATTTTGACAAATAATACTAGCCTGACCTATATCCTTATAGCAAATACTATTTTTTTTACTTCCCCTTACAAAAGACTACAAGTCTGGGGCATTATGAAATTGTACACCCCTGATTAATCTCATATGAAATGTAGGTCTTGTGTAAGATTCTATATCTGACCTATATCTTCATAGCAAATACTTTTTTTTTTACTTCCTCTTACAAAAGACTACAAGTCTGGGGCATTATGAAATTGTACACCCCTGATCAATCTCATATGAAATGTAGAACTCGTGTAAGATTCTATATACAGTCATAAATACAATTCTCAAAACTGAAATATTGGATACTAATTAATCTACTCTGATAACCTGTAAATTTGTTTTCACTATGCTTTTATCCAGCTTGATTATATATTGGATACTAATTAATCTACTCTGATAACCTGTAAATTTGTTTTCACTATGCTTTTATCCAGCTTGACGACCTAACAAGTGTTCTTCCCTAAAAGATATCAGAGACCTTTATAACTCAGAGATATTTAAAAAATACCTACATAACAGATAAATCCTTGACATCTTGTTATGCATTTCCATTATTTGAGCCACATTTGAACCTTACTAAATCAAAGACTGGGCAAGTCCAATTTATAAATGTAGGGGTGAATGAATCAAGTTTCCGTTTTAAAATTTGATTGATATTGAATACAAGACAAGGCCTGGTTGCACTGGAATTCATGGACATGACGACACCCGAGGTCAATATTTTGATGACCTTGGGGCAGCTATCAGAAGTATAATTTACATACAGCCCTGACAGATCAGCTGGACTCACCAGTAATTGTCTATGCATGGGCCAGTTTATTTTGCAAGGAACAACCCCCTTGGGCCAGTCATTTATTTTTACTAAAGCATTCAAATTAAACTGACCCAATAGACCATCTTTATTAATACCGATGTTAACCCCTGTGTGTCTCACTAAAGAAAGATTCACCATAAATACATTGACTCTCACAATCTGGAAAACTTTATTCTAAATGATTTAGAAATCCAAAAAAATATGCTGTTAGAACATATAGGTACTAGCCTCAACTTGTCAATACACCCAAAATATAATATAATGATTCTATTATGGGTGAATAGACAGACGGGGCTAAGAACCTGTAGTGTAGAATGCATTTCAGCAAGAAAGGGTTTTCAATAATTAGTCCACTATACCAGCATGGGAGAAAGACCTTTATGTCAAGTAAGCCCTATATGGATGTCTACTGAAGTACCACCTCAGAGTGTTTTTCAGAAACACCATCAGATACATAACTATCCAGGCCAGCAGGTATACAGGCTATAGGAGTACTACAGGACAGGGCCACTACAACAGCCAAGCTGTACATTATGTATGGGTGACCTAGTTCATAGCCGGCCAGCCGATAACAGCTCTCTCTCTCTCTCACTGAGTGAGTAAACACAACAGTCACCAGCTGACTCGGCAGCCATTTTCCACAACAAGACACTGCTTGTCTGAAACAGTGAAAACATTAGTTTTGCTTTATCCTCACTCTTGACATCTTCCATGATACATGTATTGGTACTGTTAAGGGCAGTATTAGAGACCTAGGCTGTGTAGTACACATATTTCATAACTTACACTGGAGACAGTAGGTACCTTAGCCTGTAAAATGACATCAAATAAAAAATATATAAAAATACAGGTAACTTGTGAATACAGAGCTTTATATATCTACATTTGATTTTCTGGATTATCGGGCCCTTAGTCAGAAAAATAGGGAAAATAGAATGTGTGTAAAAAGACATTTATCACAATCATATTCCATATTTAATGCATAGAAGTATGATGTGGTTTTATATAACAATGATACAACCTAAGGTACTTAAATATGGTCAGAATCTTGATCATACCTATGATAAAAACAAGTACAGGGGTCCTCAATGAAGTTACATTTGTTGCCAATAACAAAACAGTCCTGCTCGAAATCTCACAAAACCAATAATAACCTGCTAATGAACCGGACTACAAGAAACAATGGGAGATAAGTCTTGTGTGTGAGACGCAAACATGTTCTGGTAACAAATACACCCAAAAGGTTGAAATATTATGAACAAAGAAAATATTGTTTTCAAGCTGGTATAACAGTGTACATTTATAAATATTATGCCCAGCCCTATCGCTGTGTCAAGAAGGCGTCAATAACTAAAGCTGAATGTTGTGCTCCAGACAGAAAAAACATTTCCTGCGCTACAGATGAGACACTTAAGACTGCCAATCACAAAAAAAATCACAAAAAAACCCCAATTAATTATAACGTAAGACGTGCAAGAAAATTAAAATCAACGTATTGTCAGATGACCAGTATGCGTATAAATGTCCAATCAATAACCGAGGCAAACACCTTTTTCCTGTAATCATATCATGTTCACCTGATTGAAGGCTTTTCTAAACTTCGGGCCTTTTTTCTGTTAATTTCACACACAGAAACCACGGAATATGTAAGAAGCAGATGAGGCAATCCACAAAACTTGTACAAGTATTTAAGCGAACTGCATTCAATTATCTTCCAGAAAATTGCATCAGTCTTAAAGAATAATGTTATAATAAACCATTAAATTGACTTTCAGCCCTCAACATGTTAACACAACAATGCTATTAGTAGCATCAAATGTAAAATTTCAACCTTTTTTCGAAACATTACAAAGCAATAATCTGACAGCAGTTCATTAAATCTCCATAGCAACAGATCACATGCTCATGGTAGCTATGGTAACGGCAGCTGGTGGTGTTTGCAAGGCTCCTACACTGGAGGAGTGGAATCAATGATGCTCACCGCCATATTGACCTAGGCAATGTCTGACAGGCCCTGATAATGAATGGCTCAGAAAACCCTCCACAGAAGCTCACATACTGCTGGCAGCTATAGCAAAATGGTATCATTTTATAACTCTATTGCAAACAACATGCACGAAGAATGTCTGTGGCTTAATACAGCCAGGTAATAACTGAATGATTCTGTTAGATAAAGACATTGACTCTATTACATGAAGGGATATAAACATCATTATGTCCTCTATAAACATCTAGAAATGTAACATCAGAATTTCCAAATTATCTAGAAAAAATATATTATTTATGTTTTCTGTTCAACTATGTCAAGTTCTTAATCTTCGTGGTGCATGACTTTTTTAACATCTTTTAATTGAGGAGTGAAATTTGACC